TCAATGCAAAAGCTGTCTGCTTAAATTTGACCTGGCCTGTCACAATTTTTTTTTTTTCCTACATGGAGTCCTTGTCCAAGTTAAGTAGTAATAGCATTCTCTGTAGCCTTTCATAGTGAGTGTTTCTTAAAATTCAACCTTGAAGTTCTTTTTTTTAGGAACACAGTAATAACTTAAGGAGCATATTGTTCTAGAGCACTGGTCCTCAAAGTGTGATCCCTGGAGCAGCAGTATCTCCTGAGAACGTGTTAGAAATGTAAATTCTCAGGAACCATCCCAGACCTGAATCACAATCTCTGTGCCTGGGCAAATTAGTGTTCTGTCAAACCCTTAAGAACCACTGTTCTGGAGGTTTATTCACAGGATTAGGGTAGGTTGCTCTGTAAGAATGGTGAGGCAGAATTTCAAGTATAATAATTTAAAGGACAGTGATAATATTTTGAAATGGCTTTCTGTTATATATAGAAAGATGTCTAGTATTGTCCCATGGGTCTTTTTAATAAAGTCCTATTGTGTTAATTTGGAGAACATCCTGTATTTAACTACTTCTGAGCCTTAGTTCACATTTTACCTTCTTTGGTCTGTGATTCCTCTATAATATTGTCAAGTCAGAAGACTATATAATTCTGTTCCTAGTACTGTTGATGGAATGCAAAACCTTTGGACAAGTCTTGAAATTATTTGAAACTTGTTTCTTCATCTGTAAAATAGGTTACTGGTAGTTGTAAAATTCTATGTCGTTATTTTCCTAGTTTTATTATGCTATTCTGTCTCTGGCTTACTGAATTTCACCATTTAAAATTTAACTTGTCTAGAATAATACATGTAAATGGTATAAAATATATATCGCTGACTCTGCTTCCAGTGGGTGATGCTATTCCATTTTATGACTTAATGCACAATGTTCAAACTGGTTTTTTGTTCTTTAAGTCACAAATTCATCTATACACTTACTACTGTGAAAGCAGACTTTTTCTCTCTCCCACAGTAGAAAAGTCTAGATATTTCAGTGTAAAACAAATTGCAGTTTTATCAGTTCATGTGAGGTCAGGTTCAGTGTTAACACTATATTGACTACTTAAGTATAATCACATCTGAGCCAAGTAGTGTTCATCGGTTAAATTTTCTATTAAACTTTTGCCTCATTTTAATTAACATTAATTATTTTAAGTTTGTGTTTAACTTTTACTGTACCTAAACTGTTACTTTTTTTTTTTAGACTTGTTTACTTATGTGTACAAAAACTGGGGTACAGGCCAGAGCTACAGGGTTGGGGTGAGGATTAACCAGAGACAGAGTGGGGACTAGAACAGGTGGACTAACTGAATGAAATACACTGCTGAAGGGAGCAGTGGGCAAGACAGGAGAAGTCTGCTGTGCCATGTGGGTCAGCTCCCTGGAGTTTTAGATCTAATCCAGCTGAATGCTTGTCTTGGGATGATTTCCTTTTCATCCTTATCCTGGAAATTTCTTTTGCTTACCTCTTGTGTTGAGTTCTGTTTCTAGGACTATGTGCTCCCTTTTTTTGTGGTTTAGCATCTTTATTTTGGTTTTAAATATCCTGCAGTAGCTTTCTGAGAAACAATACTAAAAAAAATTTCCTGTTTGAAAATACCTTCTGTTCGCCCATTTGCTTGATGTGTTGTTACTGCTGAAAATAATTTCCCTCAACTATTGAACTTAATTGTTTTCTTGCTTGTAGTTATGTGAACTGTCAGGTTTATTGCTTATTTCCATGTTTGATCTCGTATATAACCTATATTTAGAAATATTGTCATGTGCATTGATGATTGCCTTTTTCACCTTCATGGTTCTGGCTGCTTATGGACCCTTTCAATATACATATAGTTACTCCTATCTTCCAGTGTCCTTGTTTTATCACCATCATCATTTGTTCCCCATCATTTTCTCTTTCTAACCTTTTTGTTGGTTAGATAGATATTGGCTTTCCTGGATTGAATCTACCTTTTCTCTCCAGTCTCATCTGTGAGCTACACTCTAAATTTGAAATTAGGAAAACTAATTTTTTTATTTTGAAAATTAAAATTAGGAAAACTAGCATTATTATCTTGTATAGTTTTGTAAGTTTTGGTGAATAAGTAATCTTTTAACTACTATCTATATATCAAGATACAGAATGGGCCCATCACTCTTATGCATACCTTCCTGCCATCCCAATGTATTCAGACTTTCTCTGTAACTATCTCTTAGCAACTCATCTGTTTCCTTCTTATCATTTTTGCTTTTTCCATTATGTTTATAAATGGTATCCTATCATATTTAGCCTTTTTAATCTTTTTTTTGCCTAGCATAAGCATATGAAAATCATACATGTTCTTGTGTATATCACTGCATTTTTTATTGCTAAGTAATATTCCTTTGTATGGATATATCACTGTCCATTTACCAGTGGAAGATGTTTGGAGGGCATATTTGTACAGTTTGGGGAAGGGGTGATCATGATTATGAATAAAGTTAATGGTCATTCATGTGCAGATTTTTTTGGTAAACCTAAGCTTTTATTTTCTCTTGGATAGATACATAGAAGTGATATTGCTCAATCATATGGTAACTATTTAGTTTTTAAAGATCTATTTATTTATGCATACAAGAACTAGGGTGTGGGGGTTGAGGGGTTTTAGAAGATTCACCAGAGAGACAGAATGGGGTACAGGACAGGCAGATTGATGAAAATACACCTCTGGCGGGAACAGTGGGGGAGACAGGAGAGGTCTGTCATGCCATGTGGGTTACCTCTCTGGCTGGGGATTGAACTCATGTGATGCAGTGCAGTGGCTGCTAATGGCTTCATAGTGCTGCCTTTTAACCTGTTGCACCACTAGAGTGGGCTAGCCCTTATGCATTTTTTGAAAGGTTTTAAAATTTTATTCTACATTTAGGTCTTTGATTTGTTTTGAGTTGTACAAGACATAGTGTATAGGTTGAAGATTAACTTTTTCTTTTGGATATGATTGTGAGTTCCAGCATCATTTGATGAAAATACTGTCTTTTGACTATACCTGCCTGTTACACCTTTGCCAAAAATCAGTTGATGTATTTGTGTGAGTCTTTCTGTGTGCTACATTCCTTTTTCTCTTTTGTCTTACTCTTTTTTGTTTCCTGCTTTGTCCTATTTTCTGATCCTCTCTTCCCAGTTTTCCCTGCATTCCTTAAAGTATATTGATTAGTAGTATTAATGGAAGTTTTATGTATATTTTCAGTTTAGTCAGAAATAACTAAAGAATTTGTATTTTCTCGACCAATTAAAAAATGCCAAAAAAATTAACTTTCTTCATTCTATAACCCTTACTTTTTTTCAGTAGATTTTGGCCTTCATTAAAGCTGGTATGCCCTCTTCCCAAACCATTTTTCAGAACGTTTGCAAAATGAATCGTTTCCCCAGTGCTATGGTTTCTTTATATTTTTTAAGATTTATTTATTTATGCATACAGAATTGGGGTACAGGCCAGAAGTGCAGGAGTGTTGAGAGGTTTCAGCAGAGGCAGAGCGGGAAGCAGAACAGGCAGATCAAGGAAGTGCACTGCTGAGGGGAGAGGTCTGCTCTGACTTGTGGGTCAAATCCCTGGCTGGCAATCAAACTCCCGATGAAGCAGCTGTGGGGAGCTTCATGATGCTGCGCCACCAGGGAGGGCCACTGCAGTTTCTTTAAAAAAGAAATTAGTTACAGTAATTTCAAGTTGACATGCCAAAGGGAAGATGTTATTTTTTTTTTTATTTTTAACCATGCTTCTATTTAACTGCTTTCCAAAGCAACTTAATTTTGCATCATCCCAAAGCCAGTTCTTGATCTATTTTTTAGCACTTGGGAAAAGTAAGGCATTGATTTTTGCTGTTTAAATAAGACACTTAAAAGGTGAAATGAAGTGATAAAAGGGGCTACTCTCTTTGAACCTTACAAAACATGGCTGTCCCTTTTTTTCCTCAGTATCCAAAGCAGTTTTTTTTTGGTGGAAATAAACTGAAGTACACCTCTCTTCAGGCCTAATACCCCTAATACTGTGCCGCCACATGTAAAAGGTGTTTTAGAATGTTTAGGTTAAGATAATCCTTTCAAGCTGCTTCATTTTAAATTTTTGGTGTTTTAATTTTAGAAGTAACACAAATTTGCTCTTTGTTGACATACAGTAGTTTAAAGCCATTAGTCTAGAATTGTGCCTCCATTTTCTAGCCTAAATGATTACTTTCTGTGGTTCTAGCCGGGGGGTATTATATAGGAGAACTAAATTTGATAATTACTTAAGACCTCAGACCTGAAATATCCTGACAGCTGCTATGGTACTTTTATTTTGCTTGAACTATGATCTCTGCCTCAATAGATTGAGGGAGTTTCTGTTGCCACTGTGTCTTTTAAAAGATATTTTTGATACCAAAGCTTACTAGTTAATTACATTCCATTTCCTCCTTACCACTTTGCCATTAAACTGAAGGGTATAGGGAACTTGGGCACAACGAAATCTTAAAGCAATGTAAAGTGGGTGAGGGTGTATTTAACACACCTGAGTCTTATTGCAGCCCCTCTGCAGTCTTGTGCAGCAGTTGCTCTGAGTTAAGCTGTGAACTCAGTTTCCTTTCAGTCCCAAAGCTCAGCTACTTAGTCATATACTTCTTTCAATTTTAAACTGATTGGATTAATCCCACCCTTCCCACCAATCCTGCCAATGAAGTAGCTCTGTCAGGTACCTTCGCCCTCCCATGTCTCCTGGTTGAGTTCTTTATGCCTAGGAGCATTGGCTCTTCATTTTCTTTTCACAGGGTCCCGACTTCTGACTTCTGAGCAAGCTGGTCCTTTGCTTCACCTGCCCCTGAGGAATGCCAAGATTCTGCTGCGCTGACTCCAACTACCCTCTCATGAAAACAATTGGGGCTACTTTCTGGATACCTGCATAAGCAATCCCTTGTCACTACTCTCCAATCCTGCCTGCACTCTGTTTTTTCCTTTTTGCTATCCTTGAGGTCCTTTCTCTCTGTCCCTACTTCCATCTCCCTGTGCACAATGCATAAAGGATGGAAAAAGTACTCCGGCCAGAAGTCTCTGAATGAGGCGTCAATGGATGAATATTTAGGCAGCTTAGGGCTGTTTCGAAAACTGACTGCCAAGGATGCCTCTTGCCTCTTTCGGGCTATTTCGGAGCAGGTAAAAGGAAAACAAACATTGCCTGTAATGAGTTTTTAGAATTTGATATGTAGCATGGTATTGTGGCTAAGAGTTAACAGCTTAGCCTAAAAAAAAAAAAAATCCTTTTTCTCTAACCTAGTGAAAACATTCAGGCCTTTCTGCTATTTATTAGCTTGGTTTGTGCCTTTGTCCAAATAAATTGCTATGCTTTTGCTAGCTTTTCTGTTCCCTAAATACTACTTTGTAGTGTAATAGAGATAAGGTGAAGCTGTCAAAGAAAAATTTGAAATATCTAGAAATTTAATACCTTAAAAATGTACAGGCCAGGTCCATAAAGTAAAATAGGGACCTGGCAGTCATCTCACCAATCTCCATGAAGATGGCAAAAGCAAATTTTAGTAAGCTTATTTTTCAGTAATCTATATGTATTCTAAGTAAGGGGGAGTTAATACAACCAATTTATGGTTTTAATTTAGAATCTTCTATTTCAAAAGGCTGCTGACAGTGAGCTGTTCTTTCTTTTTAGTTGTTTTTCAGCCAGGTCCATCATTTGGAAATCAGGAAGGCTTGTGTCTCCTATATGAGGGAAAATCAACAAACTTTTGAGTCTGTAAGTAGAATATATACATACCCAAGAGAGAGCTGTCAGTATGTGCAAGTCGGAAATGAATTTTGAGTGTCTACATGTTATGTAATCTCATTAGCAAATACTAGCCTGCTCTGGATGTCCTCCCAGAATTAGGTTCTTTTGTATTCTAATGAAGTCAAGAAAAAAATAATTTAGCTTTCCTATTACCCACTTTACAAAAACCGCCTTGAACCCAAAAAGTTACATACTGTTTTATATTAGTCCATACCACTGTTTACTTAAACATTAATCATAGTTCACAGAATTTTAGGGTGTGCTAATTTTTTTTAATGTATACTTGAAATTTGCACAAATGGAAACTCCTTTTTCTCCTAAATCTGCACACATGGTCTTTAGCCAGTCAACTTAGAGTTCTTTAAACCCTAATTGTAAAGAAACAAATTTTCCTAAACATCTGACTTTTCATGTGCCAAACTAACTGAAGCTCCAGTATGGATCAACATTTAAGCAACTTTTAGAAAATATCTTTGTATACATTGAAGTTTTGAATTCTAATTAGTGAAATAGAGCTTTATTAAGGTCTAATTTGTGTGGCTCTCTTCCCCTAGTCCTTCCAGTACTGCTTGTTTTCTTCTTACTGTATATTATGAGTATTTGCCTGGTGCTTGAGGATTACTTTTAATTTTCTTAACAGGTTTCGGTGAATTTTAAAAAACTATGTGAAGCTTCTTGATTTTAAAGCCCAATACCTTGAAGTTAATTATAGTCCTCCCCACAGCTGGGGAAAGAATTCATGCAGTTACCTCATGCAAGACCGTGGTGTAAAGCGGCGCATCTCAAGTATTTTTGTACATACAAATCACCTGTGAGGATCTTTTTAATTACAGATTGATTCATTAGGTCTGAGCTTGGGCCCAAGATTTCTGCACTGTTGACAAACTCCCAAGTGATGCTTGCTGTTGTATGCGGACCACATTTTGAGGAACAAAGATTTTCGTAAAAAAATTTAAAATCTTGTTAAATGTTAGAATTGTGCGTGTGAAAGAAGTCAGATTACCCCTTCCACCAAAGTACATACTATATGATTTTCTAAAAAGTCAAGAAAATGCAAACCAACCTACAGTGACAGAAAGCAGGCTAATGGTTGCTTAGGGGGTGTTCAGGAGCTAGAGAAGGGGGTAAAAAATGACTTAATGGCAGTGATGGGTATAGTTACTATCATGCTTGCATCATGGTTTCATGGGTGTATACAGATAATCAATTATTGTGCCATGTACGTATGTGCAGTTTATTGCATATCAGTTATTATCTCAAGCCATTTAAACAGCAAAGTGAGGAAAAATTGGTTTAAATCTAGTGATAAGTACACATGGAATTGGAAGTATGTTATATTCTGAGTTTAGCTTTGCTTTTTTTATGAGGTATATTTGCCATAACAATAAATTCACCATTTTAAGTTGAGTGCTTTTTGGTTTTGCCATAATAGTCAAGCATCTGCCACCACAATCTTGCAGAATATTTCCATCAACCTAAAAAGTTCCCTTGTGCTGTAGGCATTTTGAAGCTAATGAAATTTTATTTAAAATCCCTCAGTTTGGCTTTGTCAATATATGTCTCCTGTCAAATTTGTAATCCTTAAGAGTTTTTGTCCTTTCTCATGTGGAAATGGTCTACTTATTTATTTTGGCATTTCAAAAGAAACACAAAGGCATACCAGTTGATGAAATCCACTGGTCTGAGGATAAGTCAAGACCAGTACCTATGATACTTTTACAGTCCAGCTTTTTCCCATGTATAACTTTTGTGTATGTGCAAATCTTCTTGAGGTGCTGTACAAACTAGTAACTTAATTCCATGATTGTTGAGCTGAGCCAAAAAACCCGTTGGAGGGTAATATTGCAGAATTTAATCAGATTTCAGTAATGCTATGTATTTGGTTAAGTCAAGTTTGTTTTATTTTTGAAGTATGTGGAGGGATCTTTTGAGAAATACCTGGAACGGTTGGGAGATCCCAAGGTAAGATAAAATGTGGGGGTTAATCTTTTCAGAGTATTTGGAATAATCTAAACATTTAGCTGTGTTACTTAAGCTAGATCTAACCTATATCAAGTAGCCAGCTGTGTTGAATCAAATAGTTTTGCAAAATTTTAGAGGCTGGCAATTGACATTGTTTTGTGTTGAATATTGAGAGAGAAATGGTGTTAACCTTATCATCATAGATTAGGGAAAATATTCATTGCAATTAGCACAGGCTTAAGCCTTTTTTCACTTTAATATGGGGGTGGGGGTAATAGAGAATGTTACTAGGAGATCATTATTTTTAATAAGTCCCCTGACTCCTGATACATAGTAAGCTTTCTGTATTTCTATACAAATATTTAATTAAAATAATTTTATATGATTACTTAGTTCTAGGCTTAAAACATTTACTAAAATCCCTGCTAATATTTTATCCTTACATAAATTTCATTCATATATTACCCTTTAAAATCTTCCATATTGTCCTTGCTAAGGTCTCTAAGTCATTTCTTTTAGAATAAGTAACTATCACACTATCCCAAGCCTCAGAGCAAATTATAGTGTGTTATACAAATTCTTCATCTAAAACAGTGCTAAGCATCATTTAAAAAAAGCATTGTTGACTTGCAAAAATTCTGCCTCTCAGCTCCAGAATGTTTTTAAAAAGTTTATGTACTATTTGTGTTTAGGAAAGTGCTGGCCAGCTGGAAATAAGAGCTCTTTCTTTAATTTATAAGTAAGTTGAGTTTTCTTTTCTTTGGGGATGGCTATGGTGTGTAAGGTTTCTATTAGAGTTCCCATAGGACAGGAAAGTTGAAAATTTGATCTAGAATGAAAAGATTTAAGCAAAGTCAATTGGTATAATTTTGGGCGGGAGAAACTATAGCATTTGTGTCAGTTTGAGTGGCTTTATAATGGCTACTATTATTCCTGTAAAAAGTAAGGATATTTTAGAAATTTTTGTGTATTTAAGTCTCAGATTTGTATTCATCTTCAGTGGGACAGTTCAGTATTGCATCCAAGAGGGTAAAAATTGGATCTCGAGGACAAAAAAAAGGATTAAAAATTATAGTGGTTTGAAAGGTCAGCTAATAAAACCTATGTTAATTTAAGCTAACTGTATGTGTCAACAGTAATTCTTATATAATGTAAACTTGTAAATTACTTTATTTAGGGAGATATTTGCCATTTTCAAGTAATATTTATGGTTAATTTTAAGATTAACCTTAAGATTAATTAATGGTTAATTTTAATGGAATGCTTAATACAAGTGAAATGAAAATATATATTTTCTAGTTTTTTTTTAATGTCAAATGTTTATTTGCAGTCTTCAGGAATTTTCACATTAAATTTGGTGAAGGAGTCAAAAGAATCAGTATGTGGAAACAATACATTTCTTGATCACTATTTTGACTCTTATATTCTCTAGTTTGTGAAAAACAAGTAAAGTTAGTCTATCAACAACAACAAAAATTATAATGGTTTGTTGTCCTTCAGAGATTCATTGTATATAAACAAATATAATGTAAATCTGTGGTAAAAAAGGAACTTGAAAAGGGTCTTTAAGGAGGTTAGTGACAGGGTACAGGAATTTGAGAAACAGTGTTCTGTTGCTCTAGAAATTTTAATTTGTTCTTTAAAACTGCAAAAGTCGTATTTCTGAAAACATATAGTTTTGAAAAATACCTATATACTGCAGGTTAGAGACTAATGGAATCTTTTAAGCAGTTTGAGCTGTGTAAGCCTCCTTAACTGTTTTTATGGTGGTGAGATGTTAACATACCTTGGTAGATTCAGACCCTCTTGTTATAGGGAATTGTTCTAATATTTCGTATTTTGTTAATTCTCACTAAATCTGCAAGTAGTATAGGAGAGGCATTAAGCAGGTGTCTGATGCTTTTAAATTGACCTGTTTTCTATTTTTGGAGGGCCCTTAAACTAAGAGTGCTTTCTAAAAAATTTTAAATGCTTTAAAAAAAATCAAAAGGTTTCATAACATGTAAAATTATATGAAATTGAACTGTATTGTCCAAGTTTTATTGGAAGGAGGAAGAGTCATAGACAATTCATGTATTTAATGTGAATATTGAATAACATGATATGCAAAAACTAAAATGTTTATTTCTGGACTTTTACCAAGGAAAATTTATTAATCTGTTTTAAATAAAGGAGACTTCCCAAAACTAATAAATAAATGCACAAGTAATAATTATCTTCTGTACACTTCCTTTCTCCAAGTTAAGGCACATATAAAAAAAGAACCCATTGAACTTTGGAGGGGAAGGTAGCTGTGTACTTTGAATTACTATTATTTAATTTTTTAAACCCTTGGGTTATTCTCTATGAATAAAGTAGACAGTTTAAGTGGAAAAATATGTGTTCTTGTAACTATCTTTTGCATATACTAGATTATCTCTTTTCATCTTTGTTTTTTACTTGTGTAGTCGGGACTTCATTCTTTATCGCTATCCTGGAAAACCTCCAACTTGTGTCACAGATAATGGCTATGAAGATAAGGTAAGAAGATGAGTAAATTTTATTACAATAAAAGAAATTGAATGATGCTGCTGGATTACCTGGATAGTAAGAAATCCTTATTGACCTAGTCAATCTGTATGTCAAGTTTCTCTGCCACCAGCCTTTTACTCTACTCAGTCATCCTCAGTGTTGTTAGCTATCTCTCCTAACTGATCTTACCACTTCTGTGTGACCAAAAAAAAAAAACAAAACACCTAGTTGTTTCCTTATTGCTTAGAAGATAAGGTTCAAACTGGCATTCAGTGTCCCAAACTGGCATTCAATGTCCTTCCCAGTGTCTTTGTCTTTGAACCTTAATATACCATGCCTCCAGTCAGTCTGCTTTTCATATTTTATATTTACCTTTGTATATCAAACTTCAGCTCCTCTGAAACTTTCTCATCTCCCCTAAAGTTATTTGTACTTTTTGTGTCTCCTAGCAGCTTCCAAGTAGCTGTAGTACTTATCACATTGTGTTTGTTTACATTGCTTTTTCTCATTAGTCTGAAAGGTATTTGAAGGCATGGACAGTGTGCTACTACACTTAGTAGGTGCTGGGGAAATAGTAGGAGGTTGTTCTGTTGGTTGAGAACTCTTATCAGATAAGCATATTGTTCTTCAGCATATGTTTTTTCTTCAACATATTTAAGAAGAACCTTTTATCCTGATTAGTGAGGATAGACTACACAGTGTTTGAGTTTTGTAAGTCCTGTTTCACACATGGAACCAAATTCACACATGGAACCAAATTCAGTCAACATTTTGATGGTGAGATATTAGATACTGGGGAAACTGTTCAGATACAATTACAGTATTCTAGACAGAAGACTTCAACTAGTGAAGTAAGTAGCAATAAGAATAGAGAAAGCCAAGTAGGATGTGAGACATGACTTGGAAGATGTTCCTAAATGGGGCACATTAATTGCTTTACCAATTGTACCACCATCTAATGTATTAAGCAGTCATTAACTCCCTACAATGTACAGGTATTGGGGGTATCAAAATGAATACAGAATCATTACCTGCTAAGAGCTAAGGAGGTATAAAGCACATATATAGTTAACTGCAGCAAGATGTGTTTTGTGAGTATGTACAAAAAGCAAAAAAGGAATAGCCCGTGAATTTATAAAGTGTCATGTTTTAAGTGACATTTAAGTAGAATATCAAAAAATGATTCCAACAAGTATAAAAGGCAGTTTATTCAGAGGAAAAATTATATGTAAAGACAAACAAGCCAGAGACCCTTTAGGTCCAAGACATTGGTATAGGCAATACTGTAAAGATAGGATAATGTTACATAATGAGGAGTGTTGTAGGCTATGCTAGGATACATCGCATTTCAGTATGCAAACAAGCTTTGTTCTGGTGGGTAAGTTGCCTTAATTTCCCATTCTGCCACAGTATTGCTGCCTTCTGCAGTATGTTGTGATCTGTGAAACTTGAGTCTCCCAGTGGGGGCAGGGTGCAAGCCTTGTGCACCCCTTGGTAATTACCAAGAGATTAATGAGTTATCTCACCAGTTGTCCTCTTTACTATTGGGCCCAAAAAGGAGCCTGGGCTGACTCATCCTGATAGCTCTATCTTTTAGGAGGGGCATAAGGGAAAGTTTTGTGTGCCCACACAGAAATTGTGTGGAGTTGCCAATGTTAGGAGTCTGGTCCATGCTTAAGCAAGACTCCTCCAGGGAGATTGACAATGTCCCATCATGCCTTGGATGAACAGCTCACATCCCATTATGTGGGCTTGAGTAATAGCTTTCCCAGTCACGCTCCCTTTACTTCCTCCTATGCCTTCTCAACAGCCACCAACTTAACTTCAAATTATCCTTGGGAATGTCCTGATAACTATCTGGGATCTTCTGGGTCTCCTTTGAATAAATATTTTTGCACTTGCCTTTGGGAAAAAGATAATCCAACCTCTGTAATAATTTGCCATGTTGTAGGTAGCGTCTAGCTGCATCTATATACATTCTCACCAGCAGTGTTACAGGGGATCCTTTTCCCCACATCCTCACCACACTTGTTTCTTGTCTTTTTAATAATAGTCTTTCTCACATCAAAATAGGTTTATGATGATAGCTTGTTTTGATTTGCACTTCCCCAGTAATCAGAGATGCTGAACATCTATCCTTTCCTATGCCTGTGGGCCATCAGTGTGTCTTTTGAGACTTGTCTGTTAAAATCCCCTGCCCAGTTTTTAATTGGGTTATTTTTGTGTTGAGTTTTACAAGTTTGTTGTGAATTTTAGATCTTAACCCCTTGTTTGATACAATTTGCAAGTATTTCTTTCCATCCAGTAGGTTAATTTCTTGTTTTAGCAATAGCTTCTTTTGCTGTTATAAAAGAATTTATAAATAATAAACGCTTTAACATCAGTCTTAGTGGTGTCTTTGGCTATTTTTTAAATGACTAGAAACAGAAGTAAAAGGAATCAAATGGGATTAGATGAAATTAAAAACTTTTCCTGTAAAGCAAAAGAAACCACCATTAATACTAGTTTAGTTTTTTTCCCTTGACATTTTAGTCTGAAATTTTTCATATAGAGAAAAGTTAAAAAAAAGATTTGTATAGTGACTATCCATATACCCATCATCTGGTTCCTACTATCATACAGCTCCCCACCCCCCCTTTTTTTGGAAAGGGTAGAATGGCTTTTTAAAAAAATGTACCAACAATAAAATGGAATTCAGCTTCATTACATAATCTTCCAAAGAACAAATGGAAGTCATGATTATATGATCACAACAAGCTTTTTTTTTAAATTAAACTTTTCTGCTTTCTTGTATTACTCATTTATGTACATTATTTGACTTCTGCATTTAGGTGTATTCCCCATAAATCTCCTACCAACACATCATTCATGCATACCACTGAGTCCTTTGACCACTCAGCACCATTAAAGTGAGTCATAAGCATCTTCCAAAGGAATCACTGAGCTAGTTACAGGGTAAATATCAGCCAGTGGGACCTATAAGCATACATGCATGCATGTTAGAATATGTGTGACCATGAGACTGCCATATCTAAGTCTCATCCACACACACATACGTCTAGATACTACTTGTCAGTGGCTGGATATATGCAAAGCATAGTATTTATGTGTCTATTTGGAGACTGTATTAAATGAGTAATTTTATTAATATTGACCTTTAAGTGTAGAATAAAGCCAGGGCACATTTGTTGTGTGACAACTTTTTTTTTTTAATTTTTTTTATTTTTTTAAAGATTTATTTATTATTTATTTGTACAGAACTGGGGTACAGGCCAGAGATGCGGAGGGTGAGAGAATTCACCAGAGACAGAGCGGGGAGCAGAACAGGCAGATCGACGAAGTACACTGCTGAGGGGAGCAGCGGGCGGGTCAGGAGAGGTCTGCCACGCCATGTGGTAGCCTCCGGGGCAGGCGGGAATCGAACTCATGCGGAAGTGGCTTTAGCTTCTTAGTGCTGTGCTTTAACCCGCTGTGCCACCAGGGAGGGCCAATGACAACTTGTTTTGCCTAACACATATTTGCCGTTTCTCAGTTTAGACTACTAAGATTTATATTTGAAATGTTTGAGTTCTCAAAAGTGATTATATTAAAAGCAGTGAACATTATTAGTGTTGAGCCTTCCATAAAATACACCTCAGAGTATACATTCAAAGAAATAAATGCCTCAAGTTCATATTATTACTTTTGACCTTTTTTCTAAGGTTTATTAATGCATACAGAACTGTGGTACAGGCCAGAGGTACAGGGGCAGTGAGAGGATTTACTAGAGACAGAGTGGGGAGTAGAACAGGCGGATTGACAAAGTACATTGCTGAGGGGAGCAGTGGGCATGATAGGAGAAGTCTGTGCCATGTGGGTCATCTCCCTGGCTGGGAACCGAATTAATGCTGAAGCTGCTGTAACTAGTTTCACTGTACTTTGATTTAATCTCTTGCAACACCAGGGAGGGCCCTGACCTTCTATTTTTTAAAAGCTTTGAAAAAAAGATTTTATTCAATTTATGCAGATAGGAACTGGGGTGTAGGCCAGAGGTGGGGGGAGAAGGGCAAGAGGGTTCACCAGAGACAGTGGGGAGCAGAACAGGCAGATCTACTAGAATACACTGCTAAGGGTGGGGGGATCAGTAGGTGAAACAGGTCTGCTGAGCCATGTGGGTCAGCTCCTTGGCTGGGGATAGCTTGTTAGAGATTTTAAACCCTGTGCCACCACGGAGGGCCTGACTTTATATTTTGACATAATTCTGCATTCTACATAGTTATCCATTGTCCAAAGTGAATACTTCTTGAAATCTAGCCATCTTCACTCAGTTCATGCACTCTATTCTAGAAAGACAGACATATAAGCTTATATAAAAATGGAATAAAACTTTACCCTGGCAATGTACAGTAGTAAAAAGTCAAGCCCCCATCCATAATCTTCAGTCTCATGTGTTTTAAGGAAACAATTACTAAAGTTTAGGTAGTATCCTACATACTTTCTGTAGTTATTTTTTCTGTATAGATGGGCTTATACTTAATATTCTGTTAACATTTTCTTTTCAGATACTTTGTCATTTTTTAAAAAAAGATTACTTATGCTTACAGAACTGGGGTACAGGCCAGAGGTGCAGGGGCAGTGAGAGGATTCACCAGAGACAGGTGGGGAACAGAACAGACAGATTGACAAAGTACACTGCTGAGAGTCTCAGCGGGCAGGTCAGGAGAGGTCTGCCACACCATGTGGGTTAGCTCCCTTGCGGTGGATCGAACTCATGCTGCAGTGGCTTCGGAGAGCTTCATAATGTGGTGCTTTAACCAATTGCACCACTAGGGAGAGCCCACTTTACCTAATTTTTTTACTAGCTTACCACAATCACATCCCACCTTCCCACCTCCAAGCTACCCCAAATATATATAAGAATTTTAATGTTAGGTTGCCACCTGGAATATAAGTTATCATGGCCTGGGCCTTAAGGTAGACAGGCTTTTTAAAAGTTTTTATTTATGTGTACTAGAACTGGGGTCTAGGCCAGAGTTATAGAGGGTGAGAGGATCCAGCAGACAGTGGGGAGCAGAACAGGTTGTACAGTGCTGAGGGGAGCAGTGGGCAAGTCAGAAGTCTATTGTGCCATGTGGGTCACATCCCTGGATGGAGATCAAATGTGCTGAAGCAGTGGTAGCTTGCTTTGTGGTGCTGAGCTTTAACTGGTTGCACCCCAGAGAGGGCTCCGAACATTTTTTTTAAGATTTATTTATGCATACGAGAACTGGAGTATAGGCTGGAGGTGAAAGGGTTAGAAGATTCATCAGAGCCAGTGTGGGGAGCAGAAAACGGGAATTGCCTGAAATACATTGCTAAGGGGATCAGCGAGTGAGACAGGAGAGGTCTGCTGTGCCACGTGGGTCAGCTCCTTGGCCAGGGATCGAACTTGTGCCACAGTGGCTGCCAATAGCTTCATAGTGCTACCAGGGAGGCCTGGAATAGTTATTTAAGCACACTTTCTCACGTGGAGCCACACAGTGTTTTTACTGATATAACTTAGTTATTACAAATTGTTATTTTTTTAAAAGAATTTATTTATGCTTACAGAACTGGGATACAGGCCAGAGGTATGGTGGGTGAGAGGATTCACCAGACAGAGTGGGGAGCAGAACAGGGAGACATACTGAAATATACTGCTGAGGGGAGCAGCGGTAGGTCAGGAGAGGTCTGCCACCCTATGTGGATCACCTGCCTGGCTTGGGGATTGAACTCGTGCTGCAGTGGCTTCAGAGAGCTTTATAATGTGGTGATTTAACCCGTAGCATCACCAGGGAGAGCCCTAGAAAATGTTATTTAAAAACTAAAGAGCAAAGGAATCAGCTCAAGTGTTAACGGCTTATTTTTTAGTCATCACTGTACCATAACTCATTAAGGAAATAACTTTAGCAGCATTGCATCTGTGTAGTATATTAATATATTACTATTTATGTATAATGGATAACATTTTGAATCAATTGAATGAAAGTTCTTTCCCCCATAATCTGAGCTTTGGCTATTGAAGATTTGTGCTAATTTCTCTAGTCATTCTTTGAAGTTAAGCTGCATCTTTTATATTCCTTTAGGCATTATGTTTAATTTACTTATTCATTTGTAAAAGTTCTCATCTTTTGCAAATTTGTGAATCAGTATTTGTTTAGCATCGTTACACCTTATTGGTGATTTTTGTCTTGGCATTTAAAAATCATATTTAGTACTTTGGAATTGAGGGTACTAGAGTGGAATGGTGGACACAAGGGGTGAAGAGCAAAGGAGGCTCGGCCAACCTAGTACACAGTGGTAGAGAATGGTGGGTGCTTTGGTGGGTGGTGGTGTGCTATCAAACATTGGAAGAGGTGTGATCCTGTTTCCCCAAATCGTATACACTGCTGTAAATCAACATTACCTTATTTTTAAAAAGTCACTGTCGGCCCTCCCTGGTGGCGCAGCGGGTTAAAGCACAGCACTGAGAATCTGAAGCCACTTCCGCATGAGTTTGATTCCCGCCTGCCGCCTGCCCCGGAGGAGACCACATGGCGAGCCAGACCTCTCCTGGCCCGCCCGCTGCTCCCCTCAGCAGTGTACTTCGTCAATCTGCCTGTTCTGCTCCCCACTCTGTCTCTGGTGAAGCCTCTCACCGCCCCTGAGCTTCTGGCCTGTACCCCAGTTCTGTATGAATAAATAAATAAATCTTTAAAAAAAAAAAAAAAGTCACTGTCAAGAAAATCTCTTTAGTTTTCATTTATTTATATTTAAGTAAAAAGTAATTTCCTCCTCAGCTTTTTGATATGTAATTAGAACATTCTTTGAAGTCAGGACAGCCACATTACTGTGTAATCAAAAAACCACATTTAGTTTATTGATTTATGATTAACAATTTCAAATATTTTATGCATGTAAGATGTGTAACATTCCTTTAATTGTTCTGTTTTTTTTTTTTCTTTTCAGATTCTACTCTGCTATTCCAGTAATGGTCATTATGATTCAGTGTATTCAAAACAGTTTCAGTCAAGTGCAGCTATTTGTCAAGGTATGTGAAGGCTTTATATATGTTTGGGTGTAGTTTCACATGATTCCTAACCAGTCTTTAAATTGAGTGACCTGCCATAAATAAATCTTGCAAAGCTTTGTTGGTATCTAATGAATTTGTATATTGGGGTTATGGCTAGCTTCACGTCATAAAAATCTCATTTTGACAATTGGACTTTTGACTGTTCTTCCATCAGCTGTTTTATATGAAATTCTCTACAAAGATGTGTTTGTTGTGGATGAAGAAGAGTTGAAGAATGCAGTTGAATTGTTTCGAAGTGGTTCTAAGAAGAATAGAAACAATGCTATTACTGGCAGTGAGGATGCCCACATTGACTACAAGAGTTCAACTCAGAATAGGTAGTAAAGGGCAAAATGGATACCTACTAGATCATTGTATTTAATGTTTCTGTGCATCATTTGAAAGTTGAAAGGATCTTGCAAACTTGATATTACACACATATGCATGTATAGAGATACGATATTTAATGAGGGTTTACTAATACAGTACATTTTATTTATTTATTTAAAGATTTATTTATTTATACATATAGAACTGGGGTACAGGCCAGAGGTGAGGAGGGTGAGAGGATTCACCAGAGACAGAGTGGGGAGCAGAACAGGCAGATCAACGAAGTATACTGCTGAGGGGAGCAGCGGGCGGGTCAGGAGAGGTCTGCCACACCATGTGGTCACCTCCAGGGCAAGCGGGATTCGAACTCATGCGGAAGTGGCTTTAGCTTCTCAGTGCAGTGCTTTAACCTGCTGCGCCACCAGGGAGGGCCAATACAGTACATTTTATTGTGAGATGTTTTGGCTTTGGGGGCTCAGTCTAAGTCAGAATCAGATTTGTACTTTTTTATTGCTAGGAGACTTACTATCTAATGTTATGATTCTCAAACTTTAGTTGTATGTATATTTATTACTAAGATGCTTTTTGGATAGGCAGATTCTTGGGTTTATGTTCACAAAATTTGAGATGAGGGTGGAGCCAAGAATCTACTTTTTGAAGCAAATACACCCAAGTATTCTGATACAGGAAGGCCATGGAGCACATTATGAGAAAGAACTCATTCTAAGCCAACTGAGGTTCAGACTGGTTTACTTACACATACATCTAGCTAGTAGAAAAAAAAAAGTTAGGTTAAGGGGAGTTTTAGGAACTTTCTAATGTCTGCCTTTCGTACTCATTTAGTTGAGTGTAGATTGTGCACCTCTGAGGGTCCTCACTGGTGACCTAAAGGCTAAGTCTCAGACCTATCACTCTACTGCCTGAGTTTGAGCCTGGGAGCTAACCCACATATCAGACAGCAGTTCTTTCCCATCTTACTACTATTCCCCTGAGCAGTGTATTTCAGTAGATTTCACCAGTTGTGTTCCCCATGCTGGTGAATCCTCTCCTCCCCCACCCCTTTGATCTACACCCTAGTTTTATTCACAAAAGTAAATAATTAAAAAAAAATTCTCTTGGAAAAAAAGGTTGTTTACCTCTGAAGAAGCAGCAGTTATTGAGCAGATTTAATCAAAACCTTTGTGTTTTATATAGTAAAGTAGGCACTGTCTTATATTTTTCCCCCTGATTTCTAGTTTTGTCTGAAAATTTAATAGACTTGGTACCTGTCAGGGGTCACTTCATCTTTTTGACTTGTCCTATTTCTTGCATATTTAATGCTAGCAACTTATTTTTGTAGAAAAGATTTGGTTTGGGTTTTTTTACAAGCTTATATGGAAATGTGGGGGGAAAGGTGGTAGCCATATGTATCAGTAAAGGTTACTTACTTTTTCACTGATAATTTGTCTTAAGGGCTTCAGGCTTATGGAAACTAGTATTAAGAAGGTAAACTATATAATTGCTGTTGCTACAGTATAGCTTTTTTACCACAAACTTGGCAGCTTAAAAGAACCTAGTCATCTTACAATTTTGCACCTTAGTTTACTACAGTTTACTACAGTTTAACTGGATCTCCTAAAATGTAATTACAGTGTTGGCCTATTCTCATTGGAACTTTGGGGGGAAGGATATATTTCCTCACTGCAATTGTTCTTGGCACAGTATTTGGTTTCTTACAGCTTGTAGGTTTAAGAACTTCATATTTTTATTTATTTATTTTTTATTTTTTTGCTGGCTGTCAGCCAGAGATGAGCCTCAGTTCCCTGCCCAATGGAGTTGGTGATGAACATGACTGCTTGCTTCCTTATAGTCAGTAAGCGTAGACCAGCAAGGTAGACACTACATCTTTATGTTTAGAAGCAAACTAAATTAGAGGGAAAACAAGAATGTGAATATGGGGAGGCAGGGATTAAATGGGTCTGTCTTTACAGGGTATCCCCATGGCATGAAATGTGGACAGTAATCTGCTGAATATATTCTAGTAGATACTTATATATAGGAAGCATAAATGTAAATGTTGGAGTGAAATATTTGTCTCAATTTTAGAACTGAGCTGTTTTTACCACTAGGTGGTAGTACAGTCATTAGACTTAAAATTTCTTAGCTATTGCATTTATATAAAGCTCTTTGTTCTAAATCATTTCAATTAGGACTGAAGAATGGGATGCAAGCTGCAATGTTGAAAATATACCAGAGGGGTACAATCAAGGAACAGAGGAAACAAAGGTTTGAAAGTTTCTGAGGCAAAGAATTTTCATAGTCTTGGTTTGCCACAAATAAAATAGTTAAGGTCAGATGGTTTGTTTTGATTATATGGGACAAGGGAGGAGTTGCTAATGTTTTCCTTTGTAAAAGTCAAAGTGAGAATGTGAATATTTGCTTAGTGTTCTCTGAATTGTTATTCTGAGGAATTACAGATTTTTTTCAAGACAAACTGAGCACTTCAGTAATTTCAGAAGCTGTTGTTTTAAAAATTAATACTACAAAGCCAATAGGTATTCAGTTTGTAATCAGTCTTCTGACGCTGTTTCCTTTTTTCATGAAAACATTCTTACCCCTATTCAAAGAAAATAGGTCATGATCTTGGTCTATTAGAGTTGGAAGACTTTTGTCATCTTTATAAGCTTAATATCAAACAGACCTTCAGTTTGAGGTCAGCCCAATAGGTCAAGTATTTTCATGGTCTTTATGTCCCACATGCTGGTAATTTGGGTACACAGTTGAGCATAGTGAGATTCTAGGAAAGAAGAACAAAATTGCATTGGAAATTGTAACAGATTTTTATCAAAATGAGTAAACTTTTCAGGTTTTTTTTTTTCATACCTTTTAAGGGTACAGAAACACTTGCATCTCTCATGACACTTGTTGAATAGCCCTATTTTTTTTCCTGGATGAACATTTAATCCCAGTCTTTGTTGCATCAATTTATGTGTCCTGAGTTGACTGCTTATTCACAATACTTCCCTTCTGCCATATAAAATCCTTAAGATTGTATTTTGTTAGCTTATTTTCCTGAGCTTTAAAATGCAAGCAAAATTGTCATTTTTTTAATGAAAAAAGGAAAGGCATATGTACATAGTTTAAGGGAAAAAAAAGAGAAAAGAATGTTAATTCTACCTTCTCACAGAATGAAGACTTAAAGGGAAGGCTGATGAGTTTTGTAGCATCATTATTTTTGTTTAAGTCTCCAGAAAATCCATCAAAGATGCTCTTCCCCTATAAGGTGCTCAAAGCGTTGGATCCAGAAATCTATCGTAATGTAGAATTTGATGTTTGGTTGGACAGCAGAAAAGGTAATTAAATCAACAGGATACTTTTAAGTCCTGACAGATTGAGGAGAATAATTTTGCAAATTACTCCTAATAGACTTTTAATATACTGTTACAAAAAAAACAAAACACACACAAAACCTGGTACTTTAAAGCTTATTATATACATGACTCAAATCCAAAGGAGAGAACAGGTTTAGAATTGGGGCAGTATCTTTCAGATTCTGATTATTTGGCACTTCAAATATGTAGATACTATGACGCTAACCATTAGGTAATTTTAGATTCCCCCCAAATTTTATTCACTAAAAGTAAGCTTATTTGAAAATGAAAAGTATTATACTGCACTCATTGATAAATGAATAAGTCAGGTGTTGGGAAACCACCGCCTGTGGAATAAATCTGACTGCTGCCTATTTTGGTATGTATGTGAGCTAAGAATGATCTTACATAGTTTAATTGTAAGGAAAATGAAAAGCTGATTAGTGTGACACACGAAGTTTATGTTAAATCCAAATTCTAGTGTCCATAAATGTGTTATGACAGGATTGAGTTGTTGTGACAGAGTCTGTAGGCTCATGATAATTTTAAAATACTGCCTGACTACTGGGAAAGTTTAACAACTGTTGAAATAATTTTCTTCTTATAATCATGGTAGCCTTTAATTTTTCGTACTCAGCTTCTTGAGCTATGTTGCACCTAGGTATGACTAATCTAGATTGAGTTTAGAATCTCTTGGAGCACACTAAGTTGTTAAAAGTAATAGGCTGTTTTGAAGAACCTCTGAAGTGGGATTTTCAAATGGTACTGTATTGGTGTTTGATCAGCTTTCATTGCAACCTCCCAGCTTCCACCTATTTGTATTTAATACTACAAAGCAATTCCAGCAGAAATAACCCACCAAAAGTTATATGATGGCCATTTGGGATATTTTTTTCCCTCAGAATTTAGTTTATAGTAGAAAGTCAGATGATTGCTTGATGTAAAATAGGAAAGGAACCATTCCAGGTAAGCTTGATTCTCCATTTTCTTTTACTAGAACTACAAAAATCTGATTTCATGGAGTATGCTGGGAGACAGTACTATTTGGGAGACAAGTGTCAGGTTAGTTCCTTCTCTAAAGAATAATTTGTTTTTCTAAGGTTGTGGTTTTTGTTAGTAATGAGTTCAACAAAATGCATTTATATAAACCTGGACATTGTTTTTAATGTATGTTAAATTTTAATTACCAACTTCTGTAATTTTGGTGGTAAGGCTCCCCCTCCATTAAATCAAGACTATGGCAGTGTTATCTATTACTTCAATAAGTAAACACTGCACTCCATTTTTATTTGGCAGTATTTCCCAGTGGGCTAGGGGCTAGATATATTCTTACAGTCTTTTTACCCTTTTAGGTTCGTTTGGAATCAGGTGGAAGATACTACAATGCTCATATTCAGGAAGTTGGAAATGAAAACAATTCAGTAACAGTTTTCATTGAAGAAATGGCAGAAAAGTAATAATAATTTATTGAATTAATAAAATCTTCACCTCCTGATGCTTTTTTGTAATACTACATCAAGAATTTCTAGGGGATAAAGAGTTATCTGGTACCAGCCTAAGATTACTTACCTCAAAGTGTAAAAGCGTATGTTGACATGAAATTTCAGTATTCTATAGATGAAAGTTTCCAAATCATAGGCGGCACTAGCTGACTTATTTGAAATATTAAGTACTATAGCATTCTTGTATAAAAACTGCTTATACTAATTGGAAAGCTGGTTTTGCTAATTGAGTCTCTAACAATATCAAGATAATCTCCTTAATTCTCAAACATTTGCATGCCCTGTGACTACCCAAGGGCCTGTTAAAACAGATTGAGCCCCACTACGAAAGTTTTTGATTATTCAGTTAGTCTGGTGGGGCCCAAGAATTTGAACTTCCACAAGTTTCCAGGTGATATTGACACCTTTGATGTATTTTGAGAACCATTGAATTAGGTTATGCTGCCCTAACCAAAAAATTTCAACAACTTAAAACATTGAAGTCCATTTCTTACTCATTTAGCATGTCCATTTGGGTCAGCAAAGAACATGCAAGATGATAGCATCTCTGACTTTTCTTCCATGATTACAGTCAGGGAAAAACTCGAAGCATGATAAACCATGTGCTGGTTCTTGAAGTATCTGCTTACATAGCTAACCCTGATGTCTGGAGGATGGGAAAACATAATCTAAGGAGAGGCAATAAGTTATGAGCTAATAGTCTACAACAATCTTTCCTCTGAAATGTTATAGGTGCTACAGACAACTGAAATTGTATAAACTACTTTTAACTTTTCTAACTAAAAAGAAAATGTTGATAGAAGAGCTAGTGTCAACAGATTTAAGTAGGAAACTCTTGAAAATGAAGCAGGAGGGATCCAGTATGTGTATTAAAGGAGAATTAAGTATGTGTTGCAGTGGCTTTATGATGGTATCTCTTTAACTTAAGGCATGTTGTTCCACTGGCTAACTTAAAACCAGTTACTCAAGTGACACCTCTTCCTGCCTGGAATGCTGTGTCCTGTCGGAAAGGAAAAGGTTTCCAGAAAATTCCTGGGGGCTATGTCCCAGAAATGGGTTTGTATGCTGAAATTTTTCGTTATTTCTCTTAGACTTTCCCTTCCTCCACCCCATGAACCTTGGTGCAGCAGCAAAAATTGCCGATTGAGAACCACTTAAGATAAGTTTACACAAGATAAGTTTACTTTTATTTTTTAAGATTTATTTTTTAGTTATGCAGACAAGAACTGGGGTATAGGCCAGAGGCACAGGTAGGTAAAGGGGTTAACCAGAGACATAGTGGGGAGCAGAACAGACAGATTGACTGAATACACTGCTGAGGGGAGCAGCAGGTAAGATAAGAGAGGTCTGCTGCACCATGTGGGTCACCTCCTTGGCTTGGGATGGAACTCATGTTGCAGTGGCTGGCTATATCATGATAGCAATGAGACTCTACCTTCTGCACCATCAGGGAGGCTTTAAAATGGATTTTGGATTATAAAACTTGATGACAAAAGAGTTTTCAAAGAATTAGGAAAATACCTACTAGAAATAGCAGAGATTTAACAAGTATATCTTGGATAACAGTAATATAGATGACACTGTTTTAATGACCAAAGCTGCCTGTACTAAAGACAGTGCTGAGACTTGCCGGATTTGCCCTTCCAAATGGAATAACTGATGCATCTGTAACGTACATAAAAATCCCCTCTCCGTATTTGGCTTTTTTTCCCCCAGACAACATTGGATATTTTAGGCATTTGTGGAATGGTTGGAGGGGGGACCCTGAAACACTGGATCATTTGCCTTAGTAGTTATGAGACTTATTTGCTGCTTTCTTTGTTTGCCTGAAAGCTATGCCAGAGATGGACATAAAACAACGGAAGAAGATGTTCAGAAAAGTTAGAGGGAAAGAGTTTTATATGACTATGGCTTATAGCAGGGGAGAACCACTCCTTCCGCCCAGGCTTCAGCACAATATGCATTATGGGCATGACCCTTCTATGCACTACACACAGACAGCTGAAAGTGTTATGGCTAGTGAACCCTTTCATCCTCAGCATACACCCCAGAGAGAAAGTCGGGGCTATGGGATGCCCAGGTAAGATTTAACAGACTTAGTATATTTTACATCTCTGTTTAGATATTGAAAATAATTCCTGTAAAGATTTATAGTAACGCTTGGAAATATCATAATAGTTTATATTTCTTTTATAATTTCTGTCTAAATGACTGAATAAAGGATGGACATGTATGTTTAAATTCTTGTTAAATGAATTTGTTGGAAGATTGTATTCTAGTAGGCTAGGGAAGTACAATGCAGTTGAAGAAACTTTAGAAAAATAAATATCAAGGTGATGAGTACATGTATGTGTCACTAAATCCATTAATAATATACAAACCTAGTAACAGTAGTTGGGAAAGCAGAGCTCTTTTTATTTGGATGTTTGCAGAAAGATGTATTCATTTCATTTAATAATGGAGACTAAAGCACTGCTGAGTAAAAAGAATTAACTTTTCCAATTTATTTTTAGGGATTCACCTCGTTTTATAAACAGGCACAACATCATGAGTCCTAAAATTGGTTTTTACCCTGGCCCAGGTAAAAGGTGCTGCCAGAGTTATGATAATTTCGCCTACAGATCTCGGTAAGTGAATTTTCAATGTCGAAAATCAGAAAAAGTGAGCAAGTGTGGATTCATCACAGGCAGCAAATAGCAAATACGTGTAATGATTTTTTTTAAGTGTCAGCATTGAGATATTTGAACTGTTAGAAGTTAGGAGCACATAATCACCATATTTATAGTTTCTCCCCTTTTTGTTCTTTGAACTATAGGTCTTTTAGACGCAGTCACCGCCAGATGCATTGTATGAATAAGGAGTGCCAGTATAGCTTTGCCCCGGGGAATGGACAGATGCCCAGGGGCTTGGAAGAAACCATTACCTTTTATGAAGTTGAAGAAGGGGATGAGACTGCTTATCCAACTTTACCTGTAAGTATGTCAAAACTACATTCAAACAACTACTTTTATTTTTTTTAAAAGAAAAGATAGTGGATAAGTTTTAGGTTTTTGTACAATGACAGACAGCTTAAAGGTCTTACTGGAAGACATGTTTTTATCTTAGCACTTTTAAAGATGGGAAAAGAAGTAATTTTGTAAAGAAAGGTAGACAATGACCTTGTCTATATAGCATGGGTTAATATTTTGTATTCATGCTCATTTCTTTTTGATTCTGTAATACTTTTAAAATATTTACTTCCACAGGTCTCATACAATAGAAATTCACGTTCTTCATCTAGTTTCTTTAATTGAATTACAAATTAGCCCTTTAGCCTTTTCCCCTAATTATAAAGGGTAAACTACTTGGGAATGTGTGTCTCTTTGATACAGAATCATGGAGGTCCATCTACAATGATTCCTGCTCCTTCAAGATACTGTGTTGCAAGGCAAGGACTTAGCTCAGGCAAACAAACATTAAATTCAGAGGATGGTGATAGCCAAATTGACAATGGTGAGTCAATTAGAGTTTCTTTTTAATATATTATTATTACAAAATTACATATTTATGTAAATTGATAAAAATAAAACTTTAAAAAAGATAATTCTGGAGAATTAGCACATTGGGACTCTGAAAGGATTGCTATTTTGGTTTAATGATTTCACTCTGTTCCGGCACATACATCCTTTAAACATTAAATAAAACAAGCTCTGGCTATTTGACTCTGCTGACCTTAAAAGTTCTATGTGAGCATACTTACTACTTACATGTTTTTTCTTTCTAGGTGGATATCATGAAGAATATGTTTATCCTTTAGGTCAGTGAGCTCTAAATACAAAATTAAAAGAGTTTTTTTTTAATAAATTTTTAAAATACCAAATAATTTTCATTTTTAACTTTACTTTGACTATATCCTCTAGAATCAGACTATGAAACTTCAGGTGTTTATAGCACAACTGAATCTACAGCAAACTTGGTACGTATTTAAATAATAACAAGTAGTCTTTATAGCTCCTACTGTGTATTAGGGCACTGTTATAAAGGGTATACCCATACAGTAAGTCATTTAATGTCATAATTTAAACTAGAAACTGACTTAAAGCAAAATGATGTATAAATAGGTTAGTTGATACAAACAAGAGTTAAGTAAGTTCTTATGAGTTATTTCTAGTCACAAAAGCATCATCAAGCATATAAAGACCCAATTACTTCTATATGATATAGCTTGTATTCATTCACTTTCTAACTCACTTATTCCAATTCAAGGTCTCAGGTGACCAGAATCCATCCCAGTAGTTCTGGGAGCAGGTTGACAACCAACCATGCACAAGGCATTCTTCTGTGGTAGAGTGCACTCATGTACGCACCCACACTCTCAGGCTGGAATAATACAGACACACCAGTTATCCTAATGTACACAGCTTTGGGATGTGGGAGAGAATTTGATTACCTAGAGAAAAACTCAACAGATATAGAAATGGAACTTCTATACAGTGGCTCTGACTAGGAATCTTGTTTTACTAAAGATCAACTTTATGATGAAACAGCAATGAATGAAACATTATTCAAGGTCCTGCTCTAAATGTATTTAAATTGGAACAATCCTTGAGATAATTTAGGTATCAGTCCCATTTAATAGATGAAGAAATTGAGATCCAGAAATGAACTCTTCTGTTAGTGAGAATGAGCCATTAACTATCAGTTACTTAATATAACACAAGTTCATATCTTGGTTATGCTACATAACTTCACCAGAAACAGAGTACACTGCTGAGGGGAGCAGCGGGCAGGTCAGGAGAGGGCTGCCACGCAATGTGGTCACCTCTGGGGCTGGCGGGAATCGAACTCATGCAGAAGTGGCTTTAGCTTCTTAGTGCTGTGCGTTAACCCGCTGCGCCACCAGGGAGGGTCAGGATTTGGGATGTTTTAATGCTGTCAGACATTAAAAAATGATTTGATTCTTGCTTCAAAGCCAAATCTTAAGTGATACTTGTTGGTCGGAGTAATGTTCAGTTTTACCTTTCATAGTTTTGAGTGAAAGCAGTCGCCTTTTCAACACTCCAAGTTCCTATATTAAAGGACTCTATTCCCATTTCTGCCTGTAGTCTACTTGTCTATATGTATATGTTTTAAAAGATATCCTGCCTAACCTTTGCCAATGGTTACCAAAGCACACAACTAACATTCTGTTATTCAAACCTCTTCCCCTAATAGTTACAAGTTCATAACCTCTTTTCAACTTGAGTTTTTCTTATCATAACATTGTATTTCTACTTAATAGATTACTGTTTTAGTCAAACTAGATTATGCTTCAGTATAGCTGTAACTCCCCCTACCCTCCAGAATCTCAGCAGCTTAACCAGGACAGTTGTTCTTGGAAATGTTATATGTCTAATAATGGTAGTACACTTTTGGTTCACCAGTTAGAAAATGAGATAATCACCTTGGCAGGGCAGGAGATAGTAGGTAAGTTTAATACTGACTCTTTAAATTAATGTTAATATTTCATTGACTAAACAAGTCACCTGGTTGAATCACTTTAGATGAGGCCAGGTGTCTAGATAGAGAACTCTGGAATATTTATGAAAACTTGAATAAATACACTGTTCTCTATGACTACTTTTAACTTTGGTAGCTTATATATACTAAATGTGTATGTATAATATATATATATATATATATATATGTATGTATGTATATATATATATATATATTACTAAAAGGGCAGTACATCTTAGAAAGTGAAGAAAATATAATGTGTAATTCTTTTATTTTTCCTTTCCTCCTTTTGCCTGTCTTGAGAAAAGGCTTTTCCCCTCATGCCATTACTGTTCTCATATCAAATGCTTTTTATACCATCTCTTGAAATATCCACCCAAGTTAAAACACAAGTAAAGATCTCATCATCAGGGATGAATTGTGTGGATACTTTATTTCTTTCTGCACCTTTAATACAGTTGTCATGTTTCATTTTGTTCTGAATGTTAACTGCCCATTCTCAGTAGCTTTTGATCACTTCATGATGTGTTCCACTCCTATTCGCCAGGCTCCAAATGCATAGCAAGTTTCTAAATAAGTTATTCACAGCACTCTGAGTTGAGAAGTCCTCATAAAAGATCTTCAGGCTTAGTCATCTAAGAAACCGTGAATACTTATTTTTACCTCAGACCATGCCCAATTCTCAACGAAATCCTTCCCTAGCATTGTCTAACGTTCACCTTGGGCTTTCTGAAGCAGGGTTGGTTTGTTTCTTTGCAGATGTTTTGGCTATATTTAAAAACAAATTTTAGAAACATATAATCTTTTTTAAAAGATTATTTATGCATACAGAACGGGGTGGGGGGCAGGCCAGAGGTGCAGGGGTGGTGAAAGAATTCCCCAGAGACAGTGGCGTGCAGACAAGGCAGATCGACAAAGTACACTGCTGAGGGGAGCAGCAGGTGAGACAGGAGAAGTCTGCCACATATGTGGGTCGCTCTAATGCATGTGCCACCACGGAGGGCCCAGAAACATTAATCTTAAAGTCCAAGTTAAGATGTGCTTTATTTTGTGGTCACGGCATGTTTCCTTTTCTGTAGAAAACTTCCTCTGGTTCCCTGCTCTTATCATTATTACCAGTGTCTGCTGCTACATTTTATTTTTGCTTTTATGGCAAGTCATTCATAACTCAATCTTTTAAAATAATTTTTTAATTGGGTTGCAAGTGCTGATGAAGTTGTAAAATTGAAGAGTGTGAATAAACAAACACTACTACTTTCAAGAATAACAAGGTCTTGAGCTAGAAGGAATAGCTGAATAACCAGTTATGTACCCTTGTCCCAAGCTACGTTTTTTAGATGGAATATTTTCTTTTAGTGCAACTATTGTTGGACCTGACTTAGAACTACAAAGTCAGAAAGACCACCAAGAAACCATCTCAATAATCCTCAGTTAACACTTTAGTGTTTTCATTGCAATTAGAGTTAGATGTAATGAGGATCTTTGTAGATTGGGACTAGAACAACCATCGTTGACTAAAATGGTACTTTTTGGAATGTTAGTAGTCAGATGAAAGAAGGCAGATGTTTTATTTATGTATTTTTTGGTTACTTAATTTCACTTTATTTAACGATATTCCTTTATTTATTAAAGTCTCTTCAGGATAGAAGACCATGCTCTGTGTCCCCTCAGGAAACACTTACCTCATACGACTATCCCCAGAAGGTAATCTTCATATTGTTAATCAAGTAGTCAGTTGCAATTTTCTAAACATAGGAAAATTAGTTTTTACGTTGTTCCTTTTTACCCTTCATCATACTTAAAGAACCTGCATATAATTTATTATTTTCTTTTTAAAGATTTATTTATGTATACAAGAGCTAGGGTATAGGCCAGAGGTTTGGTGGGGGTGGGGTGAGAGCGTTCACCAGAGATAGAGTAGGGAACAGAACAAGCAGATTGACTGAAATATAATGATGAGGGAAGCAGTAGGCAGGACAGGAGAGGTCTGCTGCACCTTGTGGGTTAGCTCCTTGGCTGGGTATTGAACTCTGGTTGTAATGGTTGCAAATAGCTTCATAGTATCACTCTGCTTATATTCCTAAGTATTTGTTATATCTTGTTATACCTTGTGTCTGGCACAGTGATTAGAAAATTCATTCATCAAATTGATTAAGCATCTGCTGTGTTCCAGACACTTTCCTGTGTGATCGTGTTAGAGTGCATATTGTCTACTCTGAACTGCTTACATGATGAGATAGTTAATATGAATTACCTGTCAAGTCTGTGCCTTGTAAAGCTCTAACTGTAGATAATGCTGAATTTAGGCATCAAAAAGGATGCTGAAACCATAGGGGTAAATGAGATCATCCTGGGATGAGGACAAAATTGAGACACACATTTAGAATAGAGTCTATGAATCACCATACTTTCAAGAAGGTAGAGAATTGATAGCTAGGAAAGAAGAAGCAAGAGAGTTTATTATAAAAACCCCCGGAAGGGATTATTTCAAGGTACACCCATGTCAGTTGTTGCCACGAGGTCAAGGCAGAGCACAAGTATTACCCACAAGTGTTTGCTATGACTTGTTGCCTTGGAGACTGTTGGTGACTTTGAATACAGTTTCTGATGACCAGGGAGGATAGCAGATGCACTGCAGTGTAGTGGTAAGGAAATGGAGATTGCCAATGTGGATTGTGTCTCTAGGAAGAGTTGTCCCATCCATTGAAAGTCTCTGTACAGTCCCTATAGGGTGTCATGGGGAAGTAGCTGTGGCCTACTCAGAAAAACAAATTGCACTCTTATGAAGAAAACAACATATAAAAATATCTGTGTGGGGAAATGCATATGCATGTTATTAAATGCTTGTTATAGGTCTCTGAAATAATACAAGAGACCCAGAACTTATATTTCAGTGAAGGGAATTAGGCAGATTGACTACAGAGGTGTGAGGGAAACTTCATTGTATATATTTTTATACTTGATTTTTTCAATCTTTAATGTATTAGCTTTTCAGAAAAAATAAGAATCAAAGCTCTGAAAGTAATATGGTATCTTCTAAAAGAAAGTACCTTTTTATAGTGGGTTTACATAAGTATGGACTTCTCAATGTTGTATTTATCAAAATAATGTTTCCTTCAATTTAAGATCAGAGACTAATATTGTTTAAAGAGTTCTAAACAGTAACCAAACTTGAGTTCTAAACTTCCTTCCACACTTACAGGTGATGGTAAATTCTGCAGCAGTTGCATCTTCCTGTGCCAGTAATGATCCAGCTCCAGTCTTATCTAATTGTGCAACAGCTAATGAAGCTAGTAGTACCACTTCAGTTTCCTCACAGAATTCTATGCAGCCTCTATTTGTTTCTCCACCTACACAAGGCAGGCCAGGTAGGTTATTAGTGGTTGCTTTCTTTGGAAGTCTCTTTTCCATATTCATAAACATGTAGATACGGCAATTCTTGTTGATTAAATAGGATTATTTTAATTTCCAATATTTAGCTGTTTTAACCACTTAATAAAATATGTTCTATAGTCAAGGAACCCATGAGATGTGAAGATAGGCATTTCAGTTTTTGCAAATTTGACTGGATATGATTTTGAAGTTATATTTTTGCTACTCCCATTGACTATAGGACTTGTATTAGTTTTTCAAATTTTGAGTTGTTTTATTATATGGGAATTGGGGAGATGCGGTTTGTGCTTCAGCTCATTATTTAAATAATTTTCAGCAAGTTGTTGAACTTTTTTTGCCTGTGAGCTTTTGGGTATTGTCACTACCTATTTATGAAGTAGTTGTCCAATACCAATGAGTTAATTTAATTAAAAACTCTCAGAACTGGGAAGGTGGTGGCAACAGCAACATAGCTTTTCAATCTGAGACCCCATATGAAAATTAAAATAGCAAAACCAAAACCTATGAACAACACTTAATAATTGACATGGTTTTCTGGATAACCCAAAATTTAAACAGGTAGGGACAAAACACCAGCCATAAGGCCTGTTAATCAGGGTCTGTGTGGGAGCAAGAAGAATGAAACATCAAAGATGTTGTCTGATGGACCTGAGAAAGAAGAATCCCTAAAAGAGTTAATATGTGGAAGGAGTAGCTAAGACTGAGAAGGGATTTGAAATCTTCAATGCTAGCTGGGTGCTGAAGCACTTGGAGCAAGTTGGTCACTAAAGAAACGCCAAAACTGACCTTAGGGCTCCCATTTAGGAAGTGGAAATAGAAACTTCTGTGAGTGGAGTTAGAATTGATTGAGATAAGGAAAAGAACAAGTCCAGTTCAAGAAAGGGCCATGGAATCTCAGAAAGAAGCCATGTTTTTGAGCACCGCAAAAGCAATGAAAATAGGAGCCTTAGGCAATTAGAAAAGTTTTTTGTATACTTCAGCTGATTTTCAAGTTCATGGGAAATAAGTTTACCTAAAAACAAAAAAGCATTAAGGTCAAATACTGTATTAGAAAAACTGGGATTAAGTAACAGAATTTGGGAAACCTTAGAAATTGAAGATAGTCATTTCTGTAATGAAGAATTAAAGAACAGGATCGAATTTATACAACAGATAATGCTTTAGAGGAAATTGTAAGAAAGGAAAGAAATATAAAATGGAAAAGTTAGGGAAAGGAGTTCAAACACTGATGGAAATCCTGACGCAGAAAACCAAAGAGAAAGGAACAAGTAATAAAAAATAGAATACACAAAACTGGTGAAATTTAAAGTCTTTACATACTAAAATAGCATTCTGCACCCCTGATAATATTTACTGAAAACAAACACCAGGATATTCTACTGGAATGACTGGACTTTAAAGAAAAAAAATCCTTTGATTATCTAGATCAAAAAGCCTATAATAGTATAAAGGAAATATAATTATGACATTTTGACAGCAATGTTTTATGCTACAAGAATTTGGAGCATAATTTCAGATAATGAACGGATGAATCAAAGAATTTATATCCATCCAAACTGATTTTCAAGCCTAAGAGTAGTTTTAAGAATTCATAGCGTATTTGCATGAGCCCTTTTTGAATACTCTACTAAGTGATACTGTCAGCCAAGGTAATCATCAGCCACATATGACAATATAAATTTTAAATACAAATAAAATCTTAATTCACCAAGTACTCAGAGCTACATATGACTGTTGGATATTGTGTTGGGCAGCACAGACATTTAGAATTTTTCCACCATCACAAAAAAACTGTTTTGGATCAACTGCAGTAAACTAGGGAATGATTTTGACTGTTTAACTGCCAAAGCAATTAGAGACCTCAACATAAGTGGTATGTATTAAATAGAGAATTAAGATAAAATGAAGCCTCAGAGATTGAGAATATATACTATTAAAGCTTTTTTCTTTGGGCATAGAAAGAATGTGATTTTTAAAAAAGATTTATTTATGCATATAGAACTGGGGTACAGGCCAGAGGTGCAGGGGTGGTGAGAGGATTCACCAGAGACAGAGTGGGGAGCAGGTTGACTGACGAAGTACACTGCTGAGGGGAGCAGTGGGTGGGTTAGGAGAGGTCTGCCACACCATATGGTCACCTCTGGGGCTGGCGGGAATCGAACTCATGCTGAAGTGGCTTTAGCTTTTTAGGGCTGTGCTTTAACCTGCTGTGCCACCAGGGAGGGCCAGAAATAATGTGATTTTTAAAAGCAGAAGAATTGAGGAACCATGTGCCAAACATGGTTCTATCAATGCTCTCAGTCATCATATCAGGTTTTTTTATATATAGCCTCAGTTTGTTCTGAGGATTTATTATAAGCCAAAACAAATTGGGAGTATGGAATGTTCAGTGTCTTTGCAAATGGGAAGTCTCAGTATTGAAGAAAGGTAATATAGTGATAATAAAGGGTAAGTAAAAGTTTTAATTGCCTCAAATATGAATTGGAAATATCAGTGTAAACAGACTTTTATCTTCAATGTGTGTTTATTTCCTAAATATGTCCATGTTAGAATGCTTTCACCACCACAAAAAGTTGGTTTACAAGAGACTTTAGAAGCAATGAGTGCAGCATTTAGTCTGTTGTCTTGAAGTACTAGTTTTCAAATACAAAACAGATTTCATGGAGAAATGGCTGCTTCCAAGTCTGCACAGGAAATGTTCAAGATAAGCCTAGAAGTTATCATAGGCTGGATTTATGTCAGAGGACTTTGGAGTCAGCTTAAAAAGGCTTTCACTGGCCCAAGCTGTAACAACTTGAAACTCAACAGTGATCACTGGAGTAGATTAGAACATATTAAATATATTAAAAGTTCCTAATGATATTTTAAAAATTAAAAGGATAGGAAACCAGTTCATTTTCTTGAGAACTGGAAAGTAAGGTGAGAAAAACAAGAATTTATCCTGCCTTACATGAACTCTACCAACGATTGACTAAATAGTAGATGAGGGGAAATGTTTCTATTATTTTAATCAGTGAGAAAGTAGTGGCAGAATGTAATAATTTGCAGTCTTTACTTAGTAGATGGATATATAATATTAATTGTTGCTAACATCACAGTAATAGAATGCCTACTTAAATGTTCCAAAAAATATCAAGTCTACATTTGATCTAGCTTCCTTGATTTAATTTGCTTATTTATAAGAACTACAGAACATATTGAATTATAATGTGATTATATAGTCTATATAATCCCCACTGTAAACTCAACCGGTCAAAAGAACCCAAGTTAATTTGAAAAAAAAGTGAAACGAAGCGAGGAATGGCGTAAGGTTCAGTTCGTCAAAAGGGATTTAAAATATTAACTTTAAATCTTATTTGAAGATTCACATTTGGGTGTTAACACTTAAAAAAAAGCATGAGGAAATGATTACTATGAAAGGATAAAGGTTGATATGGTGGAAGAGAGAGTTGGTGGTGAGATATGGGGCACAAGGAAGTTCTCTGGGGTAGTGGCAGTTTCAGTTCTTGACATCGATAGTGTCCACTTTAAAATAATTCATAAAACCATATATTTGATTTGTTATCCATTTAATTTATAATAAAAACATTAATTGCTTAACACAGTGCCTGGAGCAAAAACATACAATATATGTTAATGTCTACAGAAATGTTTCGTGTTAATATAGACATGGCTTTATTATTCTGGGTTGACTGTAAGGGAAAGTATTGGCTTTCTGTTTCCAAAAGCAGATGTCTGAGCTTACAAAAAGAAGTGATAAGGTGAATCAGTCGTAATGCCTCATTTGTGTGGAATCATTGAAAGCTTACCCTTTAAATGCCATATCTGTGTTCTTTGTTCTAAAAATGTTTACTGCCTGCATTTATTTTACATTTTGTACTTTGAGTCTTTGAGCCTCAACTATGTCTCTAGTAGGTCATGACTACTTTTTTTTCAGTTTTTTTATCATTCCTCTCAGTTAATCCACAGGAAACAACTCATGTCTCCTTTCGTGTTATTTATTCATCTCTCTGGCAGCCACATCCCATCTTCTTTTAAGTCATTTGTTAGCAGCCAGGTAACCAGATGCTAAACTTGCCTTTACTATCAGTCTCCTCATCAGCATTCAATTCTGTTAACTGGGTTTTGGTAACTATTCCCAAAACTTTTGCCAGGGCTGGGGCTAGTGACTTTTATTTCCTGTGCAAGATGGAAAGGAGTACCAAAATACCTACAGAAAGGATACTTCAATGCACTATTTAAAAAAAATAAACTTATGAAAAAAGAAATTCGCAATAGATTATTAAAATTTTAAATGAGGGGGATTGTTGGGCCAAGCTTACTGTGAGTTAAGTGAGGTGTTCACTCTTGGAATCATAGTACTGGCTTGGATCTGTCTTTATAAAGTTTTGACATCCATGATGGGTTTTTGACATTAATTTAGTGGTCCCTTAAATTTGTACCTCAACATACCTTAGTTGCAGCCCTGCCCATTGATCTATAACAGACCTGTGGGGCTTATTGTTCATTTTCATGCCCTCTTCTGAAATGTCCTGAGGCAGACTACAGCTTCCTGGACAGGGAGAATAGAATTTTGAATGTTGTTGGTTTTCATTAGTATTTTAGAAAAATTTGTTTTCATTGTCCTAGAACCATCCCTTAAATTATACCTGTTAAGTCTTTCCAGATGTTCATGCATTTCTAGAGCAACTGGAAGTCATAAAACTTTTTTGGTAAAAGGGCTTTTTGTAATAATTACAAGGAAGGTGAATACAGGCAAAGTAACCTCCGAATTTTTAATACCTTGATTCTCTCACACCCATGAGAAGTTAATTAGCTACCTGTTTGTCTAGTAGTTGATGTTTTACCAAGTGATCATAATCACATTCTATCTTTAGCTAATATATTCCATTTGCACTGTGTTAGTTTGAAAGGAATAAGAATGGTGCTTTGTTGAAGAAGCCATGATTTTATAGAAAACAAGCCCATGTAAAGCCTTTAGAACATTTGGAGATGTTCTGAATATTAAATTTATCTTCCACAGCAATAGTAGAAATTTCTACATATGACAGCACTTTTAAGATTTAAAATTTACTGTAAAATACAGTAAAATTCATGTTTTTGGTGCCCACTTCTGAGTTTTTAAGCATGGAGCTGTATTTTTTAGTATTTGTATCAGTAACTGAAAACTAGGTTACTTTTAAAACTTGGCCTTCAATTCCTCTTGCTAAACTACCAGAATAACAAAATTTTACTTTGTGTGGCCTGTTCCTATACTTTACCTATATGTTCTGAAATAGAATTTAAGTCTTTTATTGAACAAATGGATAATGCGCTATACTTCTAAGGGTTAAAATTTTAGTACCCTCAACACAATGATAAAGTCTAGTACTTAAATTTCTAAGTTGGCTAAAGGGATTTATTTCCATTAACTGTGGTGAATTGTATTAGCCATCTGTTGGAACATTTAACAAATTTTCTGGCATACTATCTATGTGTGAAGATAACTTATTTTTACTAGGGTGGGTCTGCATTGTTTCCTTCATTGTCAGAGAGCAATGTATTCATGTTTAAACATTTGAATTTCTTATGTGTAAAACTGAAACTTATAAATGAATATTGTTTTTAAACAACAGTAACAGGCATAGAAGGATTAAAGGGATAAAGTATGCCCTTCATCATGCTTGTTTTAGTTTGGTAGATCCTTAGAAATGGAACTCGTGATTTAGTTCCTTATAGTCCTTTAATGCTATCCAGTAGAAACTGATGGGATTACTTAAATTTGTAATCTGTGCAGTTTAGTTTCTTACTAGGTTCTGCATTTTGTGATTTGACTAAGAATGGCAGATTGAAAACATTGTTAACTTTGCATTGAGTATAAAGCCAGGTTAAAACTTTTCTTTAATAGTATTTTTGTTTGTTTGTTTATACTTATTAGCTCATGTTTAAAGTCTTGGTTGTCTGAGCACTCCTGCTTCCATTTTTTCCCCTTTAATTTTAATTAATTTCCTTAATTCAGAATAACCTGTAACGAACTCCCATTTTTCAGTTGACATGTCTAAGATAATGTGGGCAATTCACCTTCCAACTTTTTGTTTATAAGTCCAATCGTAAAAATTAGAGTTGCTTGACCAGACTGGGGACACACAAGAATTTGTAGTAGATGAACTTTTTGGGGGAAGATTTATTTTTATCTATGCATAGAAGAACTAAGGTATAGGCCAGAGGTGCAGGGGGTGAGAGGATTCACCAGACACAGTGGGGAGCAGACAGGTGGATCTACTACTAAAGGGGAGCAGTGGGTAAAAGAGAAGAGATCTGCAGCACCATATGTGGATTAGTTCCCTGGCTGGGACTCAAACTCAGGCCACATGGGCATTAGCACTGAGACAACCACCCACTGTGGTACCAGGGAGACCCTGAACTGACCATAACACCCTTAAGGTGTTAGTTGTGCATTGTTACTTAGTTTTGTTTCTCTTTTTCAGTGATGCCTTCACCATCCTATCCATATCTTCCTGCTTCGATTCCTGCTACTTCTGCTTCTCTACCTATCCCACCACCACCTCCTTTTGAGGTGGGAGAGGCATCAAATTTACCACCACCACCACCACCATATTCCTGTGATCCAAGTGGTAGTGATTTGCCTCAGGGTAAGTAGATTTTGAGGTTTGGGTGTAGATTATTTTGGCCTGAAAATTAAAATAAATTTAAGTACATCTCTATTTGGTTGTCCTATGAGGTAGAGCTGGGACCATATGAAAATTGATCTGAGAGTATAATGCTAGGTAAGTGACCAAGGAAAAGAGCAATTTTAAACTGGGAACTTCTGATATACAATCAGAAAGTGCATGGTTTAGGCTGATATAAGCTGTGCATTTTTTATTTTGTAACTACATATCTGCTCTGAACAAGATTCTCAGCTAGATCTCTTCTTGAAAAGCTGACGTCTCTGTATAAACTTTACCATGTCTTAAAGTCTTACCACAAGTATCTGAAATTGTCAGTCTTTGATATTAAAGATTCTAATTGAATTTTGTGAAGATGTGGAGAGAATTTTTTTGGGGAGTGTGAGGAGGGAGGGTCCTGATCTGCGTTGATTTCACCCTTGTATTCTTGATGTCGATGAAAAGTAAGGAATAGCTTTCTATTGAAAGTTCAGTTTGACAGTATTTTTCAGTAGAGAATTATAGCTGAAAGTCCTGATCTGCGTTGATTTCACCCTTGTATTCTTGATGTCGATGAAAAGTAAGGAATAGCTTTCTATTGAAAGTTCAGTTTGACAGTATTTTTCAGTAGAGAATTATAGCTGAAAGTTGTTTATAGCTTGTTAATATTTTCTTGCTTGTAACAGTTTCTTGATTTTTTTTCTAATCACTTCTGTTTTTTAGCCCCTAAGGAAGACACCAACATCTTTTTGCAACTCCCTTCTGTTCCTTTATTCTACCTTAAAACTTTATCATCTTTATAGAGATGATTCCATCTAGCCCTGGTCTGTGCAGCTTCAGTTAGGTTCTAGCTACCTGCCAGACATGTTTTCATTTGTATTTCATTTCACACTACTGATACTTTTCATCTTTATCTCCTTTCTTTTGTCCAAGCCCTACAGAACATTGACTCTTCTTGATTTCCCATTTCAGCCTTATTCTGCCTAATCTAAACACCTGATATCTTTCCTCCTCTACAGTTGCTTACCTACCCCCGCCTAAGATTTACTCAATATCTCATAATGCTGATTTTGTATGTTCCAGGATTTTGTTACGAAAATACTCAAATACATCGGAAATTTGAACTTACATTTTAAGCTGAATATTTAGCTGTCCACTTACATTCTATCATTAACATTTAACTATACTTGCTTTATCACTTATCTGTGTTTCCCTCTGTCTCTGCCAACTAATCCATCTTATATTTGGTGCATTTCAAAGTAAATTGTGGATATCATCATAGATCCCCTTAAAAAGTTCAGCACACATATCATTAACTAGTTTGGTTATTTTTTTTTTTTTTTGATTGTGAAGTTTACATACACATCTTAAATGTACTCTGTTGGGTTTTGACAAATAAATGCATATCACTTATGTAACTCAGATTCCCACTGAGCTGTTTAAAGTAATTCTGTATTTTCAGACTGCTCATGTTCCTTCTTGTCTTGGCCAAATCAATCTCTACTTCCCTCCAGAATCTGATTATTTTCTGCCGTAGTTTTGCCTGTTTTGGAATTTCATATAAACATAATCACGTAGATAAACTCTTTGTGAAGAGCTTCTTAAACTCAGCATTATGTTTTTGAGTCTTCTATTTTGCTGCATTTATTAGTCCACTTGCTTTTATTGCTAAGGAGTATTTCATTGTATGAATATTTGAGATTTAGTCCATTCTCATGTTAATGAAATTCTGGCCTATTTGCAGTTTAGAACTGTTATGAACATTCTTGTAGAAGTTTTTGTAAACATAGGCTTCCATTTCCCTTAGAGTAGAATTGCAGTCACATGTGCGTGTGTGCGGGTAGCTGTATGTATGTTTAGTTCTATAAGAAACTGCTACTCATTTTCCCAAAGCCTTTAACTTGGTTATTCTGTTCAAATTCTGTATCTACTTTCCCATTAATTTTCTGTTTAAATACAATTATTTTTACCATACTCACTCCTCCACACACCCCGGTGAATTTCAGATTGCTGTTTTTAAGTTCTTATATTTCTTTCTTGTACCTTTTAACAGTTAAGATACATTTCACATGCCATAAAAAGTCAGTTGGGGAAAAAAAAAGTCAGTTGGGTTTGCTTGTTTGTTTAGTATTTTCACAAACATGAGCAACCGGCATCACTATCTGATTGCTGAACATTTTTATCCTCTCCCCCTCCCGCCAAAGAACTTACTTATTAGCATCTACTCATTTCCTCCTGGCCCTGGCAAGCACACTGATCTACTTTTCCTCACTCCAGCTTGGCCTATTCTGAGCATTTCATGTAAATGCACTCAGAGCCTGTGTGCTCTTTTGTGACTGTGCTCTTTTGTGATCGTGTCACTTAATCATTTCAAGGTTCATCATGTGCCAACATTTCATATTTTATAACTAATATTCCAACTTTATGGCTATACTTTATGTATTGTTAACATTTTGGTGGATATTTGGTTGTTTCCACTTTTATTATTGTGAATCGTACTGTTACTGATATTTTTATACAAGTTTTTTATGGAAGTATGTATATACCAAGAAGTGGGATTCACATGCTCTTTTGAATTTTATCTTTTCTTATTTATCTTGGGTACTAGACTTTATACTGATTTCTATGTGATAGTAAAAGCATCAAACTTGTGTTTTGAAGGTAGCACTCTATATTTGTATGCATCAGTGTTCTTTAAATTTAGAGAGTATTTCTGAGTTTTTGTAGAACATACTGTATTATAGGAATATATGTGCCTCTCAGGTAGAGATATTATTGGAATGTTTGGATTTCTCTTTGTGAAATATTTAATTAAATTCTATATTGGAAGAAATGTTATCATCTTGGATATAACTTATTTATCTTGCTCATTGCCTCCTCTTTTGGACTTCCAGTGGTGGTATAATCATGTAAGATAAAAAGAAGATGAAGTGTTTTGTATAGTGCATGCTGTCTCAGACTCCACTAGTCACAGCTTTGTTACTATATAGTTTTCTTATTTGAAGACCAATATAATTATTTTTCATTTGTATTTTATATAAGTCTATTTTTACATCATTTTGTGAATTTTTTCATCTCAGTTGTAATCCCTGTGGGCTTCCCATCACCAAATCACCCTGTGCCATCACCATAGTCCAGTGCATTTCCCTTCCCCCAACTGTTTTTGATTCCACTCCCCACTCCACCCCCATGAAATATCTCTGGTATATAGCTGTTCATTATTATTATTTTCTCGCCTGGAAGATCAATATAATTATTTTTTAAGATTTATTTATGCATACAAGAATTGGGATACAGGCCAGAGGTGCAAGAGGGTGAGAGAATTCACCAGAGTCAGAGTGGGGAGCAGAACAGGCAGATTGATTGAAATATACTGCTGAAGGGAACAGTGGATGAAACAGAAGAAATCTACTGGACCATGTGGGTTACCTCTCTGGCCAGGTATTGAACTCAGTGCTGCAGTGGCTGCAGATAGCTTCATAGTGCTGCAACTTAACCCCTTGTACCACCAAAGATGCCTCAATATGACTATTTAATAGTAATCACATTAAAATTTAAGTCTTCAGACAGGCAAGAAAATGCTTTTACTTGGTTCTTAATATTAGCAGAGTGATATTCTTGTAACTTGTCTAATGTTAAGAACAGAAATAAACTATTTGGTGATTAAATCTTGGATTAGAGAATAATCTGATCCTTAGAATTGATAAGGGTGGTACTGATGAGGGACAATTGTATTTGTACTTACCTTAATAAAGCTAAAAGAGAAACTATGTTCGTTCTAATTGCTAATGTCATCCAGTCATTAAATTTAACATTTTTTAATTTTAGATACAAAAGTTTTGCAGTACTATTTCAATCTGGGATTGCAGGTAAGAGTCATGTTGGAATTGCTTTGATGAACTGTATTAAAGTTATAATCAGGCTCTTGAATTTTAAAATCCAGTGACACTGAAGGGTCTAAAAGCTTTACTTCTTTTTATGTAAGGTGTTTCTGAAGATATAAAGGTCATTTTTCTACTTTAGCCTCCCCATACTTCAGTTTTTCTTATATAAAAATAGTTGTGAAATTATATTGAGTGTGAACTTTAACTAGCACAACTTTAGCACCATCAATCTCCATTTTTGTATTATGTGCCAAACTTTGACTGTTTTTCTATTTTGAAATAATAAATTGATTATTCTACTTAGAAAATTTATGTGACCACCCCTGCATTTTATGTGAAATGTAGACTAAGTGATAATGTAAAAAGTGGTATTGCATGGTTTTTGTTCTTTTTTTTTTTTTTTGGCATTTTTGACTAATGCTTTTAAATATTTCTACTGAAGTGCATCTTTATTTTACATACTTTTTAGTATTTGGAACTATAGCTCTTTGCCTCCTGGTGTTGTTACCATAGTTCATCTACCACCAAAGCTTTCTCTGTGGTGTGAGATATTTAACAATATGAATTTTTTTTCTTCAAATCTTTCATAGCCTGAGACTATTGCCTATATGGTTTTCCATCATGAATACAACATAATTCCCTGTTGTTGTGTATTTAGATTACTCTGTGTTTTTGCTTTTATTTATTTATTTTTTTTAAAATTGAGATAGTGTTGGCTTATAGCACAGTATATGACTTAAGGATGCAGGTCCCCACCTTCAGATGTGTGTTATCCTACCACACCTACCACTAAAGACCCAAAATCCTCCACTGTAGTCAGTTAGGTCCTCTTTCTCGTTTGTTCCTCACTCTTCCCCTCTTATTTCTCAGTTCTCAGTTAAGATTTGTTTGGGTTTATTTTTTCTTTTCCTTTGTCTTGTTTTTTTATATTCCATTTATGAATGAAGTCATCTGGTATTTGTCTTTCTCCTATTTTCAGTTAGCATAATTCTCATGTTCATTCATGTGTACAGGCCATTGTGTATATTTCCCTTCAGATGCATTCCTAAAAGAATTTCTTTGTTCAAATATGAAATACAGATGCTGCAAAAGATCTTAATATAGTAGATAATAGATTTTCTATGTCTGTTTTTTCCCCAAGTGTTATCACCACAACTACTGGCACTCCATGGTCTATATACCACAGATGCAGCAGCAACAGCACCTGCATATAGAGAATTGTCCCATTTATACTGAGCCACCTCCTATTGTAGATCAAACAGTTCCTCACTTGTATAATGAGGTGGGCAGACAAGATGGCACACCAGTAGAAGCATCAGCAAATGGTGAGTAACAAGATTTCCTTTGGAAAAGATGACTGGATTTTATTCTGTGTAATCTAATAATGGGCTTCACAGGTTTCATTAGATCCATATATTAGATCAACATTTCTCAAAATGTGATGCACGGACACCTTGTCCCTAAAATCCTGTTAAGGGATTCATGACGCCAGAAGTATTTTTCATAATACACAGGTAATATTTGTCCCTTTCATTGTGTTGCATTTCAGTTGAAGGAACAAAAATCAGTGCTCTCTAAATCTGCTGGTAACTAAACACAAAACAAGATGGGGGCGCTAAAATATGCTAGTAATCAGTATCTTCCTCTCTGCCACAAACTTGTGATACAGAAATGCCAGCTTTTATTTTATCAAAGGCATTCGTAGTTTTACTAAAATTTTATACTTGCATAATTGTTCTCAACCTTGGATTCGTGAAGTTCTGAGCTGAACTAGCTGACTTGAAAGAATGATAGGTAAACCATAGTTGTTCAGACTGGAAAATGTGGCAGACATTTTCTCAAGTATCTCAAATGAGCAGTGTGAGCCTCTCATTTCAGTAACAACGGATAGTATTTTTTGCCAAAGATAAAAAACATACAATTTTGTAAGTCTTATCTGCCTCCATTACCTTGACAGCTACCTGATACTCAGCACTTCTCATAAATTAGATGGGGCTATTAATTTAATGAATGACATTTTTTACATTATGTAATGAAATATGCCAACATTTGGGAGATCTTTTAACTTGGTTATATTATGATGAAAACCGTTCCCCAATTTCTAATGCACAAAGTTACCTATGTATGATTTTGTTAAAAATTTTAACCAGAATGGAAGGTACAGCAATGAATTTTAAGGTGTGAAAAGTTCACAATGCTATTTACCTACTTTTAATCTAACCTCAAAGAAATCCTGAATTATCTGAAATGGCTAGTTATTATAAAAAAGTTCATGTTTCCAACTATATGGATTTAATGAAACCAGATTTTCTTCATATACTTCAACCAAAACAATAATAAGTTATAGAAATAGACCTGAGAATCCAGTTGTCTTCTATTAAGCCATATATAGGTATTTGTACAAGTGTAAAATAATGCCACTTGTTTGACATTTTTTTTGGAGGGGGGAAATGAACTAAATTTTCAAGAAATTTTATTTGCATTAATATAGATTGGCTTATTTATTTGAATTAATATTTCTAATATTAATATTAATATTAATTTGTAATGGTAAAATATTAAGATGATCCACATAAACAAAAAGTTACTTGGGGTTCTGAATGTATTGGGAGCCTGAGGCCAAAATCAGAGATACTGTACTAGACTGTGGGGATGGTTGCTCTCTAAGCTCACAGTATAATAGATGGGGAGATATATAGAAGATTTTAAATAAGGTCTTTGGGCTGTCCTTCTTGGCATCAGCAGAAGATAGGAGAAATTCAGCTAACCTAACCAAATCTATGTCCCATTCTATCACTAGAATTTGGTGGTTGTATCAGAGCCAAGTTTTTTAGCTTCCCTATGCCTGATTTTCTGTAAAGTGGAGATACTTTATCTGTCAAAGTTGTTACAGGAACTAAATGTACAATCATGTACCATTTAATAATGTTTTGGTCAAAGACAGTCCGCATGTATAGTCCCCGAGTTCCTCTTTCCTAAAAATGACTTAAGAGCATTTTATACTGGCAACAGCCTCATACGTCTCATGTTTATTGTGTCTCTTGAAAGCACCATTTTCCCTTGTGCTTGATTTAATCTGTGTCATTTTATTTTCTTCCCCTAAGTGTACGTAAAGTTCACTGCCAGTGTTGCCAGCAAAAGGCCATATCTAATGACTGACCTAGAAACAAAATTAAAAGTGATTAGGAAAGTGGAAAGACAGTGATAGTTATTGCTCCCCAGTCAGGCATGTCCCATTCCATCATAGCTATGGTCTTGAAAAACAAGGACAAAGAAACAGAAGCTGTTAATGTAGCTGCTTCATTGAAAACATTAGACTTGCAAGAAGTCAAAAGAGCCTCTATCAGATATGGTGAAATTTCTAATGACCTAAATTGAAGACCAGAGTTAGAAGCATAGCCTTTGCCAACACCATGAATGACTATCATGACCAAAGCAAAAAGTTAACTGAAAGAAAAGCTGAGCCTGCCTATCATGTCAGATATACTGCTAGCTTGGAGTGGTTTAAACAATTCAAGAACTGCTACTCATTGCATAATGTGAAAGTGAGTGGTGAGACTGCAAGGGCTGGTGGAAGACAGCTAAAGAATTTTTTGAAACTCTTGATAAGCTAATTTTGGGGAGTAGTAACTTGCCAGAGCTTATCTTTAGTGTGGGTGAAACCTCACTGTTCTGAATAGATGCCTGAAAGGACTTTCATAAGTAGGCCAAGTCAGTGCCTGCCTTCAAGGCTTTAAAGGCAGGATAACAGTCCCATTTGGGGGCAATTTTGCAGGCTGCAAATTGAAACCCTTTGTGATCAGGCACCGTGAGAACCCCCAGGCTTTCAAGCATTTCAATAAACATGCTACTAGTGTACTATAGGAGTAATAAGAACTCATGGATGACCCAGCTCCTCTTCCCTTCTTAATTGCTCTGCCAGTAAAATGGAAATACTGTTTAGAGATTTGAACATACCTTTCAGGTTTTGCATATTTATTCACACACACACGTATATAATATGTTCATAGATTTGTTTATGTATAAGTATACCTGTTTAATATATATTTCATGTGTTTATATGTACACTTCTCTATAAACATAGATACACTTTTATTGTAACTCACATTTGAATCACTAAACAAGTGTCTATGCAGGAGAAAGGTGAATAGAGAACAGGAGCAAAGGTAAAATTAAGACTGGGCCTCAACTCCCCACCCAGATTCACTCCTTACACTGAGGTCTCAAATCACAAAGATTATGTTGTTTTGGTAAGAGCATCCTCGATGGTTTTCAGACCTATTTCAACACACGGCATGTCTTCATCCAGTCTGTTCATCACTCTGTCACAGAGGAAGGAACTGGATAGACTCTACCCAAGACTTCATGGTTTCCTGGCACAGGATCACTGTCTTTCTTACCTGTTTCCTTCCTGATTTTTTGGCTAACATGTGAATCCGTCCTTTGGCATACTTCCAGTGCCAGTACCTCCCCTTGAAGACTAAGCCTTGCCCTCAGGGTCTGGCTCTCCATTTGGAGGAAAACTTTGGACACATGTATAAACCTTGGGAGGGGGACTCTAATTGAACTGAGTAGCTTTCCTAACAGACAAATGTTAGGAAAGCAGATTTCCTTTCTCTTCTTCCTTTTCCCCCCAAGCAATTAGTGGTTCTTGAATGTTTGCATTGTAGAATCTCATTCCTGGTGTGATGTGGCCCATAGTGGTGCAAATTAAAAGTATCAACCTATATTGCATTTTTTTTAAAGCTCACTTTTACAGAGCTATTTTTATTTGTATAAGCCATGAGATCATGGCATTGTTATTTTCACAGGAGTGAATCTAAGTTATCCAAGTAATGAAGAATTTCTTTTTTAACATTTATATAGTTGCTATAGAAAGGTCAGAACAACATTTATTTCCTCTGAAACTAACTCAAGATAGCAAAATTACAGTAAAATTAAAATGATGCTGGGGACTTAATAACATTCAAGAGTTGCACTTGGTTTTCGGTATGCTCTTCCGAATACCTATCCATATAGTTGGGTCTATATTGAAAAGTCTACATAGACAGTAGAGATTTTAATTGTTATGAGGTTATACAGAAATGGTTATTTGGGTGATACTTGTTATACTGGATAACTTATGGATAACTTCATTGTTACCAATTCTCAGAAGAACTTAATTTCTTAGGACTCTAGAGAATATTTATATAGTTCCTGGTATTAGATCATTCCAAGAAGATAGCTATCGCTAGATAGAATACATTTGACACATTATATAGACATTTAAATTTTTAACATTAGGGTATTTATATGGAATGCTTTGTTTGGTGACTTATTTTAATCACTCATCTAAAGTGCTTGTGCTACAATTATTGTGACCTTTTTCTATATTTAGTGTAAGATTTTATCACCGGTAAGAAAATCGCTTTATGTTGGTGTTTTAGTGGAACTGTATATAGTGTTGTGTGTGCATTCTTTGTTTCAGGTACATTTCCAAATGCTGATCCTGCAAGTGTCCCTCAAGGAACAGTCTATTATCCAGTGATGCCAGATCCCTATGGGCAGCCACCTCTGCCGGGATTTGATTCCTGCATTCCTGTTGTGCCAGATTATACCTGTGTTGCACCCTGGCATCATCCAGTTGGTGCAGCATATGGTGGTTCTCCTGTTCATGGGGCTGTGAATCCTGGACCAGTTGGTTATATTGCTTCACCTTCCTCAGCTTCCCATTATGTACCTCAGAATATGTAACATTTAGCAGTATGAAGTATTCTTGAAATGCTATTTTTCTTGCTGTTTTTTAATTTTAAAAATTTTGTTAGCATTTAAGTGATTTATATAAAGTAGTTACTATTATATCTGCCTTTAAGATTATCTTTTCTTTTGATTTAAAATAAAGGGCTGTTACTTTGAGCTTTGAATAAGGAAATTGAGATGGATATGCAACTAGCTCCTATTGAACATCCCTGTCATTGAGCTGCTGTCATATCCACCAGCTTCTCAACTTTGTATTAGTTGATGGTACCAGTTAATAAAAGGAATGACATCTGAACTATTTCCTTGGTTCTGATGTCAGACATTCTATTAAACAATGCAAAATTGGAATGACTACCATTTTTTTCTAGATTATATAAAACATCAAAACCAAGAGCCTTTGCTTCTGGATGACTGTCTTGATATTAAATGAGAGACCTCTTTAAGTTTCTTAAGAACTGTCTGAACCGAGTTGTGTTCTCTGATACTAATCAGTTTTGAAGGCACATGGTGTTCTGCTTTAGATTTACCACATATGTTATTGTTTAATACTGAATTTATGTAACTTTTACTGCACAGTATTGAATTGGTGTCCTTTGCACAGTTAGCAGTAAATAAAAAATTAGCATTTAAAATTGCTAAAATGAGTGGCATTTTCTTCCCCCCCCCCCAACGGGAGCAAAAAGTACCAGATACTTGATCATTCTAATATTCCGCCCCCCACCCACGGTACATTGCAAAAGAAGGTGAATTTGTAGCATGGACTGACAAGGCCAGTTGAAATACTATTTAGTTTCAAAACATTGTAGTGCATACAACTATATCGAGTTATTTTCCTTTGAGAAGTTCCTTTTTAGGTGCAATTTTTTTAATCCATAGCTCCCTTGTAGAACGTTATAATCTACATTTGTTTTTTCATTATCATATTCCTCCAGTTATTGTCATACCTTGCAAATTTTGTTTTTAGACTTGTATCTTTCTAGGCCTGTCTGACTTTGTGTCTTCATTTCATCACCCTTTCTGCCTTCTTTTACCCAAAGACTGCAAACTTTAATCTCTCAGTTCTGAGGGTTAATTCATCGTGAATGTTTTTGCTGTATCTCACCTGAAAAATGGCTATTTTTAGTGTTCTTTAGAGCCTATTTATATTGCCTTCTCTTAAGGTATTTTTTTTTTCAGCTACTTTTATTTTATTTTTTAAAGATTTATTTTTATTCATACAGAACTGAGGTACAGGCCAGAGATGTGGAGGGTGAGAGGCTTCACCAGAGACAGAGTGGGGAGCAGAACAGGCAGATCGAGGAAGCACACTGCTGAGGGGAGCAACGGGCAGGCAGGAATTGAACTCATGCGGAAGTGGCTTAAGCTTCTCAGTGCTGTGCTTTAACCCGCTGCGCCACCAGGGAGGGCCTATTTTATTTTTTTAATAATATGTTTATTTTTACATCATTTTGTACATTTTTTTTTCATCTCAATTGTAATCCCTGTGGGTTTCCTATCACCGAGTCACCCGTGCGTCATCACCATAGTCCCATGCACTGCCTCCACCCCCATTTTTGATCCCATTCCCCACTCCACCCCCACAAAATGTCTCTGGTATATGGCTGTTCATTATTCTTACTATTTTCTCGCCTGGTCCATTATACTCCTGCTATGAGCGAAACCATCCAATATTTTTCTTTCTCTTTCTGGCTTATCTCACTAAGCATGGTCTTTTCCAGCTCCATCCAAGTTGCTGCAAAAGACATGTGTTTCTTTTTTTTTTTTGGTTGCAGAGTAATATTCCATTGTATATATGTACCACATCTTTTTAATCCAGACATCTAGTTTTGGGCATTTGGGCTGCTTCCATGTTTTTCCAATTGTAAATAAAGCAGCAATAAACATGGGGGTGCAGCAGAAAACTTGTGCAACATATAGTTTGTTTTGTTTATTTTAGTCAAGCTTAAAACATGGAATAAAACAAACTGGAGCCCTGTAACACAAGCTGTGGGGCAAGACTGGCTTTTTCACACTGCCAGCAGGAGCTACTGGAAAAGTGGTGGTGGTTTTCCACCCAGTCCAAAGTTGCTGTCTGTGGGCAACCCTTACTTTGCTCTGCCCAAGAACACTGCTTGCAGGCTCTTCAGGCTGCAGCTGGTGGCACGTACTATCTGCCACCAGTGGCCCCACTGGGTCAAAGGCTGCAGGCAGAGGCCAGCAGTGTTTGGGGACAGCTGTGGTTCCTCTACCAGGGCATGCAGCCCCTGGCTCAGGGTTCCAGGGAGTAGCATGGGGCCCCACTGGGACAGCTCCATCGCTGTTGCCTCCAGCTGTAGGCAGTAGAGAGATCCAGGGAGTCTCAGGCTGCCTGGCTTGTAAAATGGACACATCAGGTGCAAGATATGAGCTGATTGATGCTTTGGCCCCATCAGCCATTGGACTGAAAATGATCAGACTTGTAGGTGGGGCGCTCTGAAAGAGGATTTAAGGCAGGGCACATGCCAGTTTGGGAATCTCTGTTTTGACCTCCCAAGAAGAAAGCAGCAGCATTCAGGAGCTGACCTCCCAAGTGAAGCTGAAGAACTCTGCAGAGGTGTGGTATCGGCTCCTGCCTTCAGTCTGCCTCTTGACATCACTCTAAAGGAGCACCAAAGGCCCTGGGCCTGGTGTTTCAAAGAGCTGTTTGTTGGTGTGGGCCAACAACATATAACAGTTTTCTAACACCACCTGCTACTGGTCAGGTGTCCAGCACTGTTGACAGGTGACTGGCTCTGTCCGTGTCACTTGAGAACTGTCTACTGCCTCTGTCCATCATGACCTCCTGGTGATGTTTCCTCTGTTGCCATCTGTTCTGCCATCCTGTACTGTCCATCCAAACTTCAGACTTGCTGGTTGCTGTGGTGTCATCTCAGCAGTCCCACTGTGGTGAGTTGGGTCCATCTTTGGAAGTTTGGGACACTATTTGGGGTGAGATAGCTGGTCACTTGTAGACTTATAAACTTAGTTTCCCCTGGTTTTTAGATGATCCCCATTGTTACAGTTCCCTGAGCCTTATGTTGCAATTGTGTGCATGGATGAAGAACCCACAGTGACCTGTCCTCTATTATGCCCAGTCCTTTGAGGCTGTAGCCCCCCCATAGCCCCATGCTGTAGCACTCTTTTATAACCCCCTCAAATATTTTTTAAGATTTTTTAAGCATTCAGAACTGGGGTTCAGGCCAGAGGTGCAGGAGGTGAGAGGACTCACCAGAGACAGAGTGGGGAGCAGAATAGGCAGATGTACCAAAACACATTGCTGAGGGGAGCAGCAGGCGATCTAGGAGAGGTCTGCCACACCGTGTCAGTCAGCTCCCAGGCAGGGGATCCAACTAGTGCTGCAGTGGCTGTGGCAACCCTATAGTGCAGTGCTTTAATCTGTTGCACCACCAAGGAGGGCTCCAATATTTTTTCAAATATAGTAAGACTTCTGAAATACACATAACTCACAGCAAATGATTTTCCTTATGAAATCGTCCATGGTGGTAGGGTGGTATATGAGCTTAAACCAGATTTTTCTAAAGCTGAGACAAATTTAGTCTAATGTTACTGTTTTAACTCTGAAGCTGTTGTCAATGCGTCTAGCTTCTGGGTGGTGTTTTAAAAAATGGTCTCTCTTGAATATGTGGGTCTGGAAATTGTGTGGTTTGGAGACAAGCACGCTGTATTAGGTTTCTAGTTGGTTAACTTTTATTTTAAGCTTGTAGATAGGTTGCTGCCTTGCTTGATTTCCAATATTAATGGAACCAGTAATCAACTGTGCATATTAGACCAACCTAAACATTAGTGTTGTCAGTGTTGAAATCAGTGTTTCCCATCTTTTATTTAGCGTACAGGCACAATCTACTTGGTTTATGCATTGCAGTTTTCTCTAGGAAACAACCAAGTCCTATGTTCTCAGTCCTATGATGTCAGGCAAGGGGAGTGAGGATGGGGGTGCAAGTAATTGTACCACCACAGAAGTCTGCACTGGTTTTTGAAGACAATTTCCAGATAAAGAGGAAGTGATTTTTTTGATAAGTAAAAGAAACAAAACAACTAAAATTTAACATGTTTAGTGAGCCTGCAGTATAATTAACCTCATAGAATTATTTTCACACCTGTTTGCCTTTAGTTGCCCTGGATGTCAGAATAGACATCTGCTGTCTTCTCTGTTAACCAAACTTCAACCACTTACAATTGTTGGGGGGAAGGAATAAAATTGCTGTAGTTCTGGACACTTCCACCTTTTTCCTGAGATAAATCTGGTTACACCAAGGAGAAAAATCTGTATCATTTTCATAGTAAGGAAAAACAGAATTAATTTTTATGCTACATATATTCTCAAAATTGTGGTTTTCTGTCTTAAGAGCAGATAAAAATATTGAGTCAGTTTTACTGTTGAAATTCAACACTTGTGAATTTAAAACATCTTTTATTTTCTTGGGGCCTATAATTAGGGCATAACCTTTTAATCAGCTTTAGAAATAAAAGTAAACAAATGATGACTTATATGAACATCAGTTAGAATTTAATTTAAACAAAGGTTTCCATGAATAATGAAATTGCCCATTGGGGGAGGGTAGCGCATGCACTTAGACTTCTAGGGCTAGGACAAATTTAGTCCATTATATATGAAACTTATTTGAAGCCGTTCAGATTTCCATTTATAAGAAATTTCAGGGGGACTAGTAAAAAACAAAGACAACCTCCTGTTTCCCACATCTTATCTAAAATACTCAGTGTTAGAGCAACTTGATTTAGGAAACCATGTCTTACCTCAATCACAAAAGGTAATTTCAGGGACATGTGGGTTACTTGTGTTTGTGGGGAGGTGTAGCTTCAAAGAAAGATGAATTTGAAGTAGGCAATCTATTGGGCACCTAAAACTGCTGGAGAGAAGTAAATCTGGGTATGACCTGAAAGTAATCTGGAGATAGGGTGGGGTTTATAGATGGAAGATTAGTTACATGTTAATCACTTGAAATTTGGATTTCTTAAGCTATCTCCTCTGCTTTGTGTTTGAAATTTTTTATACTAGGTAAAGAAAAAACCTTACTTTGTAACTGGTCATCTGAAGAGGAAATATTTGTGAAGTTAGTGAGAGTTAAGGTTTTTAATTTTTTTTTTTTTTGTGCCTTGTATCCTGAAAAGAGGGTTTTAAGGTCTATCAGGGCTTTCTTAAGGTATCTGGGGGGAAAGCTTATAGAGTAGTGAGAAACTAATTCTTAAAATTCTATAATTCTCAAAATTCTAAAGAATGTTCACTAGTTATGTGAAGAGAATTGTAATTATATTTCATTTCAATCAAATTTTGTTGATCTGCCATTCACATACAAAATATTTGGGGTGTATCACTTCACACCTTGACATGTGCACACACTTCACTCACCTACTTCCAAGGTTCTGGGGCTATCACGCTGGCACCTCTCCGCCTTCCCTCCTTTTTGTAAGCACATTTTTCGCAGAGTGAGTTAAATGTCATGGCCCAATAAAATGATTTTATTGAGCCATGAGATTTATTTGTAGTTGAAACTAATTGAGTTGAGTGAACCTTTTCAGGTTTTACTGCTTCACTATTTCCCTAATAATCACCACCTTGAGCT